ATCAGACTAACTGAGGTGGGGCATTTTCCTTTGACTACACATCAGAAGCACCAAACTGTGAATACGTCCAGCCTTTGGAAAATGTGTATCAAAAAAAGCCAAGATAATGTCACCTACAGGCATATTTTGAATCACAGTGGATGTACAAACTGGAACTGGAAGGAAGCAAGCTGTGTAAGCTGCAAAAACCAACATCCTGTGGCACCGCTAAATCCTCTGAACAAATTCCAGATGAACTAACCTATTCGAGTGGTGCATAAATCCATTATCTGTTCAGGATTTAAAACAGTTGTGAGATATTTTAAAGGAAAATGGTTGTGTGAAACCTACCATAACAATGTTGGGCATGGAGAGCTAGACTGTGGCTCACGTGACTTCTCAGCCTGGTGGCTGGCAGTCCTTGCTGCCAAAGAACGCGTGGAGCTCCTAGAGCTCTTCACGAGGCCAGGAGAGGAAGTGGTGGTGCTCAGGCAGACACCTTCCATTATAAATACACCTACACATGCTTTTATAGTTGTTTTCGTTTGGAAACTGGGATCAAGCAGTAGGAAGGCAGAAGCCACTGGCTGTCTAAATGGACAACTGTCTGGCTGCTGTTAAATGGGTCACACGATGCCAGAATCTAGCTCTCGGTCCAGGCCAGTTCCAACTCTTAGCTGTTTGGTCTTTGACGTGGAAGAGGTGCTGTAGGTCCAACTTCAGAGCGATCATGTTACGGGATGAACATTTCTGGGGTATGTACAGGAGAGTGACTGTCCTGGGGTATGTGCAGAAATCCCTTCCCTAGCCCAGTAGCTCTGCAGTCTGTTGATATAACCTAGCAAATACTGTGGTGCGCGGAAATTGTTTTTCCCTTAAGGCAGCTTTCCTTTCTCCTCTTTCCCTACTCCAATGGTTTTGGTTATTTTATAAGGCCAATCTGGAGGGCCTTGTCATTTCAAAGGAAGATAAACTCTTTTCCACCTTTGCAACGCCTGCAGTGTTGTGCAAAGGATGCAGTATTACTTTTGACAACTGAACTGTGGTAGAAAATTACCATGTGTGTTATTTTCCCACCCCACCCAAAGAGATTTAGTCATAGTGTTGGAAATCATGAGAGATTTTTTAAGGCTTGGCTGTTACTGCGTCTTTTGGAAGAGAAAAGCTCCCACATTGTGTTTGGAGGATAGGACATTATCAGATACCGTCTGTAGCTCCCCTTTTCTCAAGCTATAGATGTGTGTTTCTGGTGACCAGTGGTCACAAATTCACTGGAAACCCAAACTATTTTTAAAGAAGAGAACTGTATGGTTTTGATGTAGCTGTGGTCAGTGACCCATCTTCTGTAACAGGGGTCTGATATTTGATCTTGTCACTAAAATTTCAAGAGATGAAAATCAACAGCCTTGAATTCTGTTTCCTTTTTTTTTGTTTGGTTTTGTTTGGTTTTTTAATTATTTTTTTAGCAGTAACAGAAGTAATTTAACAAGAAATAAAATCAGAAAGTAGTCTATTGACGTCGTGTACTCGGTAGTCCTGTCCCTGCCTGTAACAGATTTCACTGATGTATTTTTTAATACAGAAAACTATGTGAAAAGTAAACCTGCCCCTGATTCTGTCTGATCAAAGCCCATCTGTGTCTGTCATTTCTGATCAAAGATGCTGCTTTCGCCATGTCCTGGCCTAGCGGTCCATAATACATACCCTGCCAGTGAACTACCCAGGCTCTTGGAGCTCAGGGATGCTCCTGCAGGCTCGTATGTTGTTCCATGAACACTAACCTGTCCCTCCCCAGAGTTAAATAGTGAAATAGGCAGAGTGTTTGGGATTGGAGTGGTTGATAGAACGTTTCAGGGAAAACAAAAGCGTTCTGGAAGGATTCGTTCGCATGTCTGTAGGGGACTGAAGAAGTCTGAGCTGTGTCTGTTGCACACGAGCTTTGGCAATAGGAGAGGAAAGGGATCTGGGAATTCCATACTTCCTGGGCATCCCTTTGGCTGTGTTCTCGCTCCCTTCTTCCCTGACATTCCTCCCCTCCAGGGAATGAGCAAGGGAGCAGTTAGGATAAGCTGCTGCGGGGGCAGGCTTTGATTGGGTTGAGATTGCCTAAAAAACAATACCACATCTGAGTTTTCACTTACTAGACATTAACAGGAATATTCCCATAAAGTAGTATATTTGTATCTTATGAGAAACTCACTCATTTTCTTCCCCTGAAGTCCCTCACTCTGTGAGCACTTTCACGTACATCAGTTTTTTCCAGGTACTTGGAATGAAAGACATTTGCCTTTCATGCTCTCTCAGCAAGAAAAGATAAACCACTTTTAAGCTTGAGTGGCTGAAAGCAAAGCATTGTGCTAACTGCTTTTACGTCATGGCTCCGAGCCGAGAAGGGGTTCAGTTCAGTTCAGTGATACGATTAGCAGAAGGAATAGTTTCAGTTTCATTTCCCTGGTCAGATACCTTCTGCTTGGAGGCCCTTTGGCCACAGTGTTTGTTCCCCAGGGTGTGCTTGGGCTATTTTTGCCTCTTGAGGAATTGCTGCTCAGCCTGGCTGGAGTTCACACTGATGTACAAGCTGGATTACCTTGAAGGATTAACATTATTAATAGAGTTTTGCACACAGGATCAAAGTTCTGAGCACTTAAGTTGTTCACAATCAATAGATCCCAATCATGTGCTGACCATGCAACAACATTTATTATTTGAAATATTCTTTTAAGGAGCAAATCAGGCTGTAGTCTCAGGGTAGGCAGAGAAACAAGAAAGAAAAACAGAAGAGGATGCTTCCTGCTAACAGGGTTTCTATCTCTGTGCTGTCCCACTGCAAGACACATGTTTGACCCCTTCATGGCACAGCTCTGCAGCCTGGTTTGGGAGCCTGGCAGCGAGTGTGCCACGTTCCTCCTCACCACGCGTGTTCTCAGTGCTGGCTCTTTGGATTGTTGCAGAGATCTTTGTTTAAAGTGCTTCTGGAATGTGGCTGTTCCCTTTCCAACCCGAACTCTTCTACGATCCTAGTCTGTGATTCTATGAGCTGGCAGTTCTCCCTGCGAGAGGGGCTCGCTGCAAACCTGCTGCTCTCTCCCGGCTTCGGTTGACTAGAGGAGGAAACGGCGCATGCTCAACACCACAGAATTAAGTGCAGGTTGAATTATCTTACAAATTACTCTGCCAACCACTGTCTGAAAGAAACCCCTGGATTTCTGTGGCAGTCACCTCCTCAGAGACTTGAAATGAAACAGCAGCAAAGGCTCATTTCGTGTTTCCCCAGGGTGTGCTCCCGCAGCGGCGAGGCTCCACCGGTGCTGGTTTAGTGCCAGGGGCACAGAAGGGACTCTGAATGTGCAATAAAGTCTTCAGGTTCTGGTAACAATCTCAGTAACTCTTCTCAGTCCCTTGAGCAAGTTTCACTGTTGCCTTAAAAACAAGCAAGCAGAACAAAGGCTCGTCTCTAAAATCCATACGATGCTCTTCTCAACCCACCAGCACCGTGCTCACTGTCTAGGTTGGAGTTTTGCTTCCATCAGCACAACGGGTTCTGCCCTTCTTTCTTCCACATGTCATCTGTTTTGAACATTCCTAGCAGAGCTGAGTGCTAGCTCTAGTCAAGGGAGAGTTGCAGAGTTGTGGAACGGTTTGTACAGTCAGAAAGGCTCAAAGGAACTTGGGTATCTTGGATTCTTCTAGCTGCAGAACTTAGTGTGCATTGGACATAACATCCACTAAGCTGATGGTTTTTCAGCGGAGGTATGTTTTTTGTTAAAGAAATAAACCCTGAAATAGCTGAGATTATCGCCTGCTTGCAGGGAGAAGGGAGTTTATTTCAATTAAACAGTCAAGCTAAACAAAGCATCAACCACCAGATCTCAAAATGCATCCCGAGTGACCATTAACACAAATCCAGCCCAGCTTCCCGGTGTTCAGACTTAGGGATGGGGAGGCTGCAACAACCACTTTAGCCACAGCAAGGTTAATGTTGTGGTTCATAGCCAGCTATCAGCCACACCAACAAACAGCACACCTAGGGGACTTAGCTCTGTGAGCTTTGGACTCTCTATTGTCTCTTCCACATCTGTAACACAAAAAGCCAGACCTTTGGAGAGGCCGTTTTGACCTGCTGGGAGCCCGGCTGCTGCTTTTGAGAGGAGGGTGTGGGTGGTGACTTGTGACTTTGTCCCCACTTAAGCCACCAACTCACCCTACAGCCCAGGGGCCAGTGGGCACTTCACTCCCGTTGTACCAGTGAAGCCTCATGTTCCGTCCCTTGCCAGTCTGTACCTCGGTTGCACCCCTCTGTAAATTGGCCAGACTTTCCTACCTCGTTTGGGCATTATGAGGCTAAATTCTGTCGGATGCTTTGCAGCCCCGTGATGAAAGGTGCTATATAACTGCAAAGTGTTACTTCAAAAGATTTAAATAGGTCACCAGTGCATCATAACATATATTAAAAAAAAAGGAAAAATACTTTTTCTTATATGAGAGTTTATAGAGTTCAATGTATGGTATTAATAAGTGAACTATGGAGACCCCAAAAATAGTTTTTGTTTGAATCGTATCTGTATTCTGGAAAAGTGATTAAAAACCTTTAACCTTAATAAAAGAGTACATCCTCATTTCCTGTATCATGTTGGAATCTGAGCTTAAAAGCAGACTTGAAGGGATTTTAAGGGTGGGGGGGTAGTTGTTTTTAAGGAGAAAAATTTAAGGGAAAATTGGAAGTGCAATGAAGGAGGATGGTGTGTGAGGGGCAGAAGCAGGGGGGCAATGCTGTGGCCACCTCCTATCTCAGGTCATTAACTCCAGAGAAGAGCCACTGAAACCCAGCTGGTTGCCGTTGAGAGCCTTGCGGGAGAGGAAGTGTAGCACTATAAGAACTCCAGCTGGAATCTGTGCCTGGACCCCTGCAAATCCTGAGGCACTTGATGGGTATGGGGATGCTGACCCCACACCAACCACCACAACACCCCTGCCTGCAGATCATCTTTATTGGTTTCATTGCTCAAGCTTAGGCACAGCTCTTATGAGGGTGGGCAAGTTGCTGGGGTCTCTGGGGGCTTCCCAGTGCCTTCCATGCCATCAGAATCCTCGTCATCATCGTCACTGCTGTTTTGACTGTCATCACCTGGAGGCTTCTTCCCCTTGGAAAACATGGCACCAACTGCTGCACCTAATGGCCCTAGGGTAGTTGTCAGCCCAATTTTGGCAGCAAGAGGCAAACCTGCAGCTCCTGCAAACAAACAGTGAGGTGTGATGCTCCAAGAGCATTGATGCTGCCACTGAGGGACCCAGCACAGGGCAGAGAGAACCAAGGACGTCTCTGGACTATGGAGCGCACACAGCTCCATGAGGGCAACCAGCCCCTTTCTGCTGTCCCTTTCTGGCTCTGGCCAGCGCCCTCGATGAACACAAGCGCTGATCTTGCCAGAAGAGCAGGTGCCTACGGCACAGCCCTGAGCCCTCAGCCTTGGTGCCGTACCCAGCACATCCCGACTCTTCCCACCACATCGTGGGTTCTTCCCTTCCCCACGGTTTTGGCTGATTTCACACCAGCAATGGGGGGAGGTCTCCTGTGGCTCTCCAACAACCCCAGCGCATACCCCTGCCATGACCCCAGCGCAGGTCCCCTGCCCTCCCCACTCACCGATGGACTGCAGCACAGCCACGGTGCTGCCGGCAGCCACCCCCCCGCCGTTGGCTATGGCAGCTGCTGACATCATTTTGGCAGCAATGGAGCCGGCGGCGATGCCAGCTGGTGTAAAGCCCAGTGCACCGACGGCCAGCGGGATGCCAATGAGCACCACTCCTGCAGGCAGGACACGGCAGGCTTAGCATGGCCTTGGTGACCGCATCCCCTCCTGCCACCAGCGCCATGGATCCGGCCTCCCAGAAAGCAGAGGAGTCAGGGTAGGGAGAAGGGGCCCGGGGTGCAGGGACACCCAATCCTCAGGGAGGACAGAGGAGAGGGACTGGGAAGGGAGAGGGTGCTCAGGCATTGGAACAGGCTGCCCAGGGCAGTGGTGCAGTCACCCCCCCTGGAAGTGGTCAGAACCCGTGCAGACGATGCCCTCAGTGCCACGGGTCAGTGGTGGCCTTGGCAGTGCTGGGTTGGACTGGATGAGCTGAAAGATCTTTTCCACCGTAGCTGATTCTATGAGAGGAGAGGAGAGAGGAGAGCGAAGCGGGGGCAGAGGGAGGCGAGGTGAGGCCCGGCAGTGCTGCGGCAGCGGGTGCAGGCTGGTTTCCAGGCACAGGTCAGTGCTGCCCTGTCCCTCGCAGCCCCCCCAGCCTGACCCCATCCCTGGGGATGGGGCTGGGCAGCGACCCCGAGCGTGGCTCCTCTGACGCCTGCCCCTCACCTGTTAAGGCCGTGGCTCCGATGGCTGCTCCCTTCAGTTTACTCACCATGGCTAAAGGAGAAGGCATGGGGAGGGCAGGGGAGGGCAGGCAGCTGCAGCCACCCCCAGCCCACCTCTTCCCCCCTTCAGCTGCCCGCGGGATGGGCAGATACCAGTGGTGAGGCCAGCAGCAGGACTGGGCTGGGGAGAAGGGAGATGGGAGAAGGGAGGTGGGAGAAGGGGAGATGGGGGAAGGGAGAAGATGCAAGATGGGAGATGAGAGATAGGAAAAGGGAGATGGGAGAAGGGGAGATGGGGGAAGAGAAATGGGAAAAGGCAGGAGATGGAAGATGGGAGAAGGGAGACGGGAGATGGGGGAAGAGAGATGGGAGAAGGCAGGAGATGGAAGATGGGAGAAGGGAAGCCCCGCGGGGTGCCCTCAGCCCTACCTCCCACCCTGCTGCTGCTCCCCTACCCGCCGGTCCCGAAATGGGCCCCTGGCAGGGCTGGAGCTGGCTCCTTTCCGTGCCGCCCATCCCCGTCCCGCCCCGGGGCCGTCCCCGGCGCATCACGGGCGGGTGGAGGCGGAGTTGTGCGCTGGGGGGGGTTTATTTGGGGGTCAGACACAGCCGATGGAGGGCAACTATCGGGGCAGATGCAGGGGTCACAGCGTGGGGAAGGGTTGCGGCCGGGTCACGGCAGACATCGTGAGGGTCCCGGTGGGCATGAAGGGGCTCAGAGTGCAAAAGCCCCGATGAGACCTCCCAGCACTGGGAACACGGCCTTCACAGACATGGGGAGTCCTCCTGACCCTGAGAAAGAGGAGGAGAAGTCAGCCTGAGCCCCCCCCAGCCACGGCGTGGGGTCTCCACTGTGCCCCATCGCCCCCCCAGACCTCCCAATCCAGCCTCCCCCCGGCCAGCACAACCAGGGGGGCCGTGCCAGGCACCCCGAGCAGATGGAACCCCAGGTCCCCCCGCTCCTGTGGCAACCCCAAGCCCTCCCCACGCTGCTGGTACCACCCAGGGAGGCCGAACCAGGCCCGGCTGCCCCCCAGCACCGCACCAGGAGCACTCACCGAACGACTGCAAGATGGCGACCAGGCTCGTGGCACTCACGCGGCCCCCGTTGGCGATGGCAGTGATAGACATCAGCCTGGCGGCCAGGGATCCGGCCGCGATCCCACCTGGGGTGAAGCCCAGCACGTACAGGCCCAAGGGCACCATAGCCACGGAGAGCCCTGCGTGGGACAGCAGCAGCTGTGACCCCCCCAGGCACCCGCGTGTCCCCAGCCCTGAAACGAGGGGTGCTGGAGGCAGAGCGCCCGCTCCGCCGGGGCAGCCCAGAGCCGTGCAGGGTCCCGTGGCCAAACCTCCCTTCCTGGGGCATCAACGGGCTCCCTGGGACAGGCCAAGGGGAAGGGGCAGCACCCCCGAGAGGGGTCTGTGTGTGCAGAGCAGCAGCGCGAAGCCGCAGGGAAGTGGCTCATTTCCAGGCAGCATCACCCATCCCCGTGCCCCCGGTGCCTTACCGATCCCCACGGCCGTCCCGATGGCAGGGCCAACAAGAACTGGAACAGAGAATTGAGGGCGGTCAATCGGCGGGGCTGGCAGCAATGGGCAGCAACACCAGGGGCTCCCGCACCCCTAGGACCCCGCACCCCTGCCCACCGGAGCATCCCTATGCCCCCCCCCCGGATCCCACCTTCCCCAGACCCCCCTCGCCCACCCCTGAACCCCCTGTGCGCGCCCCGCGTCCCCCCGCCCGCAGCTCACCCATGGCTGGAGCGGGAGCGGGGCCGAGCGCGGTCCTTCGGGCAGCGAGGACAAAGAGCCCCTTCCTAAGGCAGACAAAGCGGCCTCGCCCTGCGCGCTCCCGGCCACCCCCGCCCCCTGCCCCGCCCCCCAGGAGCCCCCCCCCCCCGGGGGCCCATCCCGATGAGGGGTGGGGGGGAGCAGCCCCAGCTTTTGGTCCCCGCCACCCGCCCCCAAGGGGGTTTTGTTCCCATCGGGGGGTCCCAGCGCCACGGACCTGACCCTGTCCCTGCGCCGCCGGGGCTGGGGCCGGGGCCGAGACCGGGGCCGGGGATGGGGTCAGGGCCGGGGCGCGCGGGGCCGCGCCTGACGTCACACAGCGGATTCCCAGGGAACTGGTTTCGGTTTCCCCAGTTCCCGGCCCTGGAGCTGCCCCCAGTTCCCGGCCCTGTTCCCGCAGGGGCTGCCCCACAGGGACCCCCCCCACCTCCTGGGCCCCACCGTGGGATGGGGCCGCGGGGGTCGCAGCCGGGCCCCCCCATGCGGGCCGGTTTCAGCAAGGGGGCAGCGGTGCCGTAGCGCATGCGCCGCCGCAGCTGGTTGAAGGGGACCAAATCCAGTTGCAAGTTGATCTGGTTCCTTTTGACCAGCCCCAGGGACGCACCGTCTCTCCGGAGGCGCTGCCCGGGCCGGTGCTGCGGTGCTGGTGGGGAAGGAGCCGGTGCGGGGGTCCCAGCCCAAAGATACATACTTCTTAACATTCCATAACGCCGGCCGACTCCATATGGGCATATGAAGAAGTATGTAGGGTTGGGAGGGAGGGGTGGGCAGCGTGGGGCTGACAGGCACCATCGGCTCCGGGTCATGGGATGCTGGAAGGAGCCGGTGGCCGCGGTGAAGCATCTCCGGACCCCGGGGCATCCCCCCTTGGTGGTGGCAGTGCCCCTATGGACCCGCAGAGCCCGCAGCCACCCTGGAGCAGGGGGAGCTGCGTGTCTGGGAGCAGGGCAAGGCCGTGGCCGACGCACGTGCCCGGGATGCAGCTTCTGCACCGGCCGGAGGATGCTTAGGCTGGTGATGCACGCACTGCGGGGCGGTGGCGGCCCTTCACGGGTGCTGGGGTGCTCCAGGACGTGTCCGAGGCTCAGCTCTCAGGCACTGGGGCACTACTGAGGAGATGGGGCTGTGCCCTGTGAGCCTGCAGAGCTGGGACCCCATCGGCCCTGGATCTTGGCAGGGTCCCCACTGCGGCTGCTCCAGCTGCACGCCCTGCACCCTGCAGCACCCCCCACAGCACCCTGTCCTCCAGCCCAGGCACCAGAGCAGTGGGTGCATCTCAGTGCCTCTGAGGCCAGCACTGCGGGCACCCACCACCCTCTCCCCATGCTGCAGCTCTGCGCAGAGGGGGCTGGAGGTGCCATTGCCCATGGGAGGCTCAGCTGAGACCTCAGGGGCTTCAGGCCCTATTGAGGCTGCAGGAGGCTCCCCAGCCCCAGCACAGTGTCCAGGGCAGGGCGATGGAGGGGACGAGCATCACCACAGCCCAGCCACGCTCTGTCCCCATCAGTCCTGATCCCACTGCTGCCTCCACCCCTATGCCCCTGGCTGGAGCGGTGCCATGGCGGTTCCCAGGCCGGTCCCCTCGCAGCCTGGGGGAGCAGGACCCCGGCAGGGACGCACCGTGGCCGTGACTCAGCGCTGGGGGCTGCGGCCACGCGTGCTGCAGCTCCCTGCAAGGAACCGGGGGGTGCCAAGTGCACGCTCACGGCACCCACAGGCAGCAGAGACGCTGCTCCGTGGGCCCCGGAGCCACCGGACGTCCCCATGGGGCACAGGGCTGCTGCCAGCACAGCTCCAGCCCCAGGGATGCTCCACCAGCACCCCAGGACCTCCCGCACGGGGACCTGGCACTGGACCCCCCCGGAGATGCAGCTCCCAGGACTCAAGTCCCTGGTGCAGGGGCAGAGCCTGCCCGGGTGGAGCAGCCCCACGGGCCCCGGCTGACCTTGGGCAGCCTCCCAGGACGGCAGAGCTGCGGGTACCAGTGCTCAGGGGGGTCCGCACGGGCCCATCCCCAGCGCACGGCGCCTGCATCCCTCGGCCGGGCTCCCCTGGTGACCTTGGGCTGCACCCAGTGAACGGGACTTTGCTGCATCCAGGGCGCCCATCGCCCATCTCCCCCAGCCCAGGCCACCCCGGCCCTGCCCCGCAGCTCCCCCCGCCTCCCCCGTGCCCAGCCATTCCCTGTCACCAGCACCAGCCCCTCTGCAGCCCCCAGCCCCAGCGCTGCCCTCAACGGCCGCAGACACAGCCCCAAGCAGGGGCCCTCCCGCAGCTCCTCTGTGCCCCTGCTCCATCCTGCACCCCCAAGGGCTCCGGGCAGGGCGCTGGGGGGCACCAGGGGCCCTTGGCCTTGCAGGGGGCAGGCAGAGGAGCCGGGGGCGCTGCTTGGGGCTGGCTGCGGTTGCACCCGGGAGCCTGCACAGCACCCAACAGCCCCAACCTGTCTATAAAAGGAAGCAGCTTTTCCCCCTGCTCCCCCCAGCGCCGTGCTCTGCAGTCGCTGCCTCGCAGGGGCCTTTCCAAGTTTCCCTGTTGAGCGCTGCCCCCCCAAGCGGCTCCCCCCGGCTCATCCATCCCCAGCGAACCCACTGCGGCAGCCGCTCAAAGCAGCACCGCAAGGCCCAGCGAGGAGGAGGGAGGTGGGTGCGAGGGGAACACTGATGGAGGGTGCCTGGGGAGCACCCTGGACCCTGCGCCCCTTTGCCTGCAGGCATTGCCCGTTGCAGCACATGGGCCGTGGAGCCCTGGTGCACCCCGCCATGGTGCTCAGGCTTCTCTTTGCCCACGATGCTGGGGTGCCCGGGAGTTGGGCTTCTCTTCCTGCCCCATCCCACCGCCACGGGGTGCCCCTGCTTTGTGCGGCCGAGCCCCACTGCAGGGGATGACCCACGGGGGACGGGCCAGGCTCTGCCCCGCTGCCTGCGGACACAGGCACCCAGCCCCGCGGCCGGGACCTGCCGGGGGTGCCCCCAGCCCCGCAGAGTTCGCTGCTGCCCTCACTCCTGCTCCGGGGCTGGCCCGGAGCTGCGCTCACCCCGGCGCCAGCGCTGCCCTCCCTGCCCACGCCGAGCTGCAGGCAGGAGCCGGGCGGCAGCGGCAGCCCCAGCCCCAGCCCCAGCCCGCGCGGGGCTCGCTGAAGGTTAAACGCTGCCGGCGGGGAGGTCCCCGCTGCCCCCCGCACGCCCCGCGCTCACTCACGGTGCTGGAGGTGACCCCGCCCGGCTGCGGCTGCGGGGACACCCGGCTGGAGCGCGCTGCTCCCCCGCTCGCCTTGACTTTGCCACAGGACTCCTCGGGCTCGTCCGCAGGAGCTTGCAGCATCCTCAGTTCAGCGGAGAAGTTCCTCGCCAGGGAGGGAGGGAAGGAGGGAGGGATTTAAGGCAGCCCCTGCCTGGGATGCGGATGCCTCCGGGTGCAGGTGAGGACCCCCCGCTCGCTGGGCACCCCGCAGCCCCCTCCTCGCACGCCCCATCCCGGGCTCGGTGCCCCAGCGCATGGCTCCAGGGATGCTGCACGGGTGAGCCCTGCGGAGCTCCCATCTCCCTGCTGGACCCGGCCGCCGCTGCCTGCCCGTGTCCCCTGCGCCACGGAGGGGGGTCCTGGAGCAGTGCCATGGGCAGAGCCGGGCCCAGCACTCGGGAGGGTGAAACCTGTGACTGCTGCAGCCTCAGGGGCTCCCCCAGCCCAGGGCAGCCGCACAGGGACGGGCATCCCCGGGCTGGTGTCCCCAGCACCCGCGGGGCAGCGGTTTTAGCATCCGGAGCAGCAAAGCCCGGGGCTCCAGGGGTACCCCCGCTGTCCCCAGGCTCCCACCCAGCCTACCTCTGCCTGCAGAGAGCCGGCGGGGCGAGGGGGACCCCGGCTCGGGGCTGCAGCGGGGGCAGGAGCCTGGGAGACACCTTAGAGCGGTTCCCAAAGGGAAAAGCCGGGACAAGCAGCGGCGTCCCTCCCGCGGCGGTCCCGGCGGCTCCGCGGCGCCCTCCCCACGCCGGGTGCGCTCTGTTTGCCTGCTATTTCTGGCCGCCTCCTAAGAGCTCCTCTCGGGCTATTAATAATGAGAGTGCGAAATTCGTTTGGCCTCTCCTATATAAGGGAAGGTAGAGGCTTAGAGGCAGCTAAATATACTGGCGCGTGCGGGAGCAAGCGGGGAGGCTTTGGCACCGAGTGTGGAAAAGAGATTGTTTGAACAATGGAAAGACGGACTCAGGCGGCGCACGGGGCCCTGTGCGGATGGACGGACCCGTGGAGGGATGGGTGGAGGGCGATGGCGGCCGTGGGCCTGCTCCGCAGCGCCCGCATCACAGCCCGGTGCCCCTCAGGGCCCTGCTTGGGCAGGGTGAGGCAGCGCAGGGCACTCCTCCAGCCAAACCCCGGCCGCTCCTGGGGCAGCTCCCGCAGCCATGGGGGCCATGCCGGGTGCCAGCGGTGCCACGGTGTCCCCAGGAGCCACCGGCATCCCTGCAGCGCCCACATCCATCAGCACAGGGCTCTCAGTCGCTGTCACCCCAGGTGAGGTGGGGGAGCTCCCGACGGCGCTGGGGCTCCTGCGGGAGGAGGTGAAGCAGCAGCAATTGAGGGGATGCTGGTGCCAGGAAGGTGCTGGGGAGCGGTGCCAAATCCACACGAGAAGCAGAGCGGGGAGAACGTGCTTGGGGAGAGGAGAGGGCGCTGAACCCACCGCATCCTTGTGCCCCCTTCCCTGGGCCGCTGAGCACCAGACACCGGGGCAGCCCCGGCAGTGGGGGGCAGCGTCCTGGAGCTGCTGCTCCTGCCACGGGCACCACGGCCTCAGCTTCTGGAGCTGTGGAGCTCCTGACACCAAACCTGCCCCGGGGGAGCAGCCTGGGGGTGCTCTGAGCCTCCAGCCCACACCCAGACCCAGACCCCGCCTCGGGGAGGTGACGCTGCTGAGGGCAGGAGCAGTTCTGTGCCCTTGGGGCAGTGAGAAACCCTCTCTCCCTGTGCTTGCCCTGGGGCCGGTGCAAGCGACACCCACCCCAATCGAGCAGGAGCTGGTTGGAGCCCGGGGAGGGTTGGGGTGGCTTAACCTGAAGGGAGCTGCTGGGGGCAGGATGGGAGCCCGGCGGATTTGGTTTCTTACATCCTCAGGTGACATTGAGCAGCGTGAACTCCAAGGGCTCCGGCACAACCCGAGGAGCACGTGAGATGCGCAGTGGGCAGAAGGGCGGCTCTGAAGGTGAGTCTCCTCCTCCCCCTGAAATATCCATGTCCCACGGTGCCATCAGGTCCCTTCTGGCTGCCGTGGTGCTACCGCAGCCAGGCACAGGGACAGCTGGGCAGCCACCTCTATCTCCTGCAAGGACAGCAGATAAACGCTCCTTTGCTGCATGAGGAGGTGCAGTTACCCCAGGTGTGGGTGCAGCTTGAGCCCTGCTGCTGCTGCTGCTTTCTTTTCCACTGAAATCCATAGTCGGACCCTGCCTTGGTGTCGGGAAATGGCCCACAGAGGCTCAGGAGGCGCTTAGCGGGACACCAGGGACAAGAGCCCTTGGGCTGAAGCAGCAGCAGCGCATTCCGGTTGTGCTAAAGCAGGGGCAGGCAAACAGAGCAGGGGTCAGGACACAAGCAGGGGGCTGCAGCCCGCACCTCGGCACCTCCTGCTCCCGACAGCGAGCGCAGGCTCCAGCACCAAGTGCAGGCTCCAGCCCCGAGCGCAGGCTCCAGCCCCAGCACCGAGCACAGGCTCCAGCACCCAGCGCAGGCTCCAGCACCGAGCGCAGGCTCCAGCTCCAGCACCCAGCGCAGGCTCCAGCTCCAGCACCCAGCGCAGGCTCCAGCACCGAGCGCAGGCTCCAGCTCCAGCCCCGAGCGCAGGCTCCAGCACGGGGCTGCCGCATGCTTGGCTCTGTGTCAGGGGAGCTCTTGGCAGCCCCGCTCGCTGCGCTGGTCCCAGAGCCCCACCGAGCTCCAGAGCTGGAGCAAAGCCTTGTCCCCAGCGCCTGCCGGGACCCTGCGGGCGAGGGGAGCCCCCAGTTCTAACACAGAGCCCGGCGGCCCAAGGAGCCGTCCCGCAGCTGCAGGCGCAGCGCAGCGCCTGCCCTGGTTACCTGCGAGAAGCGCTTGGCTCTAAAGACTGACTTTCAGCCTCGCTGCAAGCACCGCTGCGACCAGCGCCACTGCTAAACCCGCGCTCAGGCTGAGCAGCACCCCCAGCACATGGAGGAAAGGATTTAAGAGCAAACTATCTATAAACTAGACTGGATTTGCCTCAAGCATCCTCAGCCGGCGCTGGAATATGCTGAGAACAAACCCAAGCGGAGCTGGTGGCTCATCCGACGCCTCAGCTTCTAACTTCCTTCCACACATGGGGAACTCATAGCCAGCATCTCTAATTGTGAAATCACCGTGCATAGCAATGCAGAAACCTTCCCCAGCAAGGTCAGCCCCGCTCATGGCACTCAGGTAATGAACCAGCAGCGCTGTCAGGGATGCCACAGGGAGAGGGTGCCAAGGGATTCCTTCCAAGGCAAGGCCTATGTGGGCCTGCCTTGGGAGAGGTCTGTGTTAATGGTGCACTGAAGTCTGCTCCGCTCCCTGGGTCAAGGGGTTCCTACATTGGACCAGAAGTTGCTGACGTCAGCCTGGGAGCATCTCCTTGCCTCCAGCAGCTTCCCAGTCCTCACGCTCCCATGGGCCAGGATGCAGTCGCTGGAGTATTCCCTGTTTCATGCTCCTTGGCACCGAGGGTTAAGATGTGGAGCGAGGAAAAGCACTGCACAGCCAGGGAATACTAATGGGAGCCCAAGGTCTTGCACTGCGCTGTCACAGACCTGCACTGGGTGATGACAAACGACTAACGAGTGAGGAAGTCATCCCCGCATCCTCACTGACCCCTAACCAAGCCACTCAGGGCAGAGGAATGCCACAGCTCCCCCAGACCCCAGCCTGCCCACGCAGTGCCCCCAGCTCAAGCACCCCAACCCAAGAACCATTACCCACAGTGGAACGCAAGCAAGGAAGGAAACAGGCTCAGCTGAAGGAAGGTGGTGGTGGTACCAGGTTTTAATTCCCTCCTCCGTAACAGGAAGCTGGGACGCAGGCCCTGCACCCCGGCCAGGGGACCGCTCCCTGCAGCGATCTCCAGCGCACCCAGCCCGGGGCTGCACAGGGACTTCCCCAGGAGGGGAAGGAGCAAGAGGCTCAAGAGCACAAGCCCCAAGGACTGGAATCAGCGAGAGCCCAACAGCTCCAACAGCACAAACTGCGCCCGGGCACAGGCCCAGGGCCAATCCCTGCAGCTTCCACACCCTCATTTTGGTGCTTGTCCATCCGACACCCAACTGAAGGGACAGGCATCAGAGGGTGGCATCACCCGCAGTTAAGCAGCCACTGTACGGAGCCAGCACTGGGCTCTGCCCCCTTCCATGGGCAGCATCCTGGCCTCAGCCATCCCCTGCATGGGCCCAGGTGGGCTCAGAGGGAAGCAGCCATTGGGAAAGCGGGTGCAGGAGCTGCCTGGGAAGGGGAAGCCTGGCTTGGAGCAGCAGCTGCTGTGACACTGACAAGGCTGAGGGTGGCCCTGGCTGTGACGCAGGCAAGAGAGAGACAATTGCACAGCCTCAGTCCTCAGGAGAGCTGCAGGCTCCAGTGCTGGTGCCTGAGGAAGGCAGCCCAGTGCCCAGGCAAACAAACTTAGCAGCAGCCATGACTACATTCAACGAGGGAACATTCCCTCTCATTCAAGAGTGTTTAATCTTCATGTCGCTCAACACAAGTCAGTAGTGCAGCAATATAAATACAACTGAGGAACTTCCACCCTTTCGGCTCTTGTAGCTCAAAAAAAGCCAATGAAACAAGTTTCCAGTTTTTAAATTAAACACAAGGAAAAGGCAATCAACTGCCCACCCATCCACAGAGGAGTAGTGGCGTCCTTCATGCCAGCAAGAGGCTGATTTCTGCACCCCACAACAGCAGCACAGTGAGATAAAGGAGCCAGGATGGTCACACACCTGCCTCCCAGAGCCCAGGCAGTAGAGACACTGTCCCTTGGTGCTGGCACTCACCATGGGATGCCTCTGGGCACTGAGCTCCCTTTTCCACCGACTAAAGGACACCAACACGTTGGTAGGAGCACAAAGGGCTCTTCAACCATAACATGAGGCTGCTACTGCCAGCCAGAGGGAGCAGCCAGCTGCTGGGAACTGAAGATACCAACCTCTGTTAGCCTGGGTTGTGCAAATCTTAAGACACCCCCCCCCAAACCCAACCCCCCTGGTAAATAGCATTTCAGAACTGAGATATGGTTAATGTCCAGACTCACGGACGGCCTGGCGACCAACAGAAGCTGCTGGGGCCACTGAACAACATCTCACAGCTTTGGAATTAAGCCAGACATTAAACACAGGTGGGCACAAAAGGTGGGAAACCCAGGCTCTGGTACCCAGGGGGAGAGCTTGCTGCAGGAGGGGGTCTCCTAGCCCAGCCAATTACCACAGACAGGCCAGCTCTTCACACCTGAACAGGCACCATGCCATCAACACTCCCAGTGTGTAATTTAGAACAGCTACAAACCCCTCTCCTACCTGCAAGTCGAGGAGTGTGACCATAGTGTTTAGATTCCCCCTCCTCTACACTCCAAAAGCAGCCAAGTGCATGTGAAAGGACAAGTCTATATTAAAATAGTGCTTAAACCATTAGGGAAGGTGGGAGTAAAAGAGAAGAAAGCTGTTGGACAGCACAAGTAGCCCCTGGAAAGCTACTGGAGCATGAAAGGAGCTCAGAGCACAGCTCAAAGCACAGCCTTGACCTTCCTTCTCTGAGGAGCTCCCGAGGAAAGAGAGCTGGAAGTCCATGGGTGTTTCCTCCACTGCAGTCTGAGGTGGGCTAGGAAGGTCCTGCACATTCACAGTTGCTCCAAGTGGTTCTGTCCTGCTGCTCTCCAGACACCAGCTCAGTCCTTTCCTGATGCCTCACCTGGGGCTCACAGCTGCCTTCTCCCTTTGATCTCCCTTGAAGTTCAAATTCAAGTACAACCAGATTTAACTGAAAAGAAACCCACAAAACCAAAGGTATTTTCTGTGAAACGAGTTAGCAGCGTTGTCCTAATCAAAGTGGCCTCCAAAGGCCCTTGTAGGATAGGGACGGGAGCGGCCTTTCCCACTGAGCTCCAGCAGAAGGCCGCCTGAGGGGAGCTATAGGATTTCCTCCCTCTGGTTCTTGGGTTTGAGCATCACTTGTCCATTGCGCAAGGAGCCGTTCTGGCTCCGCAGCAGTTTCCCTTTCTCATGGTCAGGCCATGTGAAGATGGCTTCATCGCTGTCCAGTTCAGACTCCGAGTGCATCAGGCTAGTGTTGAGGACCTGGGATTTCTGTCTGCCACCTTTGAAGGAGAGAGATTCTCAGGTCAGAAATACTTCTGCTACTGGTCAACAACCTCACCTGACTCCATTCCCTTTAAGACTCTTCCTATCATGTCAAAGGAGCAGCCTAACCAGACTGCCCTGTGCAGCTCAAGCCAAAGCGACCCTGTTTCAGATACTTTGGCATGACAGGGATCACAAGACTCCAAGATATTGCAAAGCACAGCAAACAGGTAGGAAAGCAAATGACATTACCAGAAGGGGCTGTGAATATATGTGAGAGCTTGTCTCCCTGACCTTGCTTGGGGCATTGCCTAGAAAGCTCTCTGAGTGCTAAAGGCTGTGGTAAACAGAATATGCAGGTGTGTGAGAGAAGATCATGGTGTTCTTCCTACCCTCTGTACTCTCCTCTCTGCACCTCTTGCCCAAAAAGGAAGAGAGATAAATTAGCAGGATGAGTTTAGATTAAAGCACAAGGACAGGAGAGAGATATTTACTGTCAGCAGAGAAAACACTTAAATTGAGCTTTTCCTTAATGGAGAAATGCAACATTTCCTCTGTTTGCAGAATGCTCCCTGGACATACCTAGCAAGGAAAAAGACTTTAGTCAGCTGCCAGCCTCAGAAGCAGCAAGATGAGCTCAGTTACCAGAGAGCAAACAGTTGAGACACATTTGCTCCAGCCTGGAGAACAATAAACCCTTCATTTAACAGTGCAGCTCTTGTGTGCAAGGTGACAGATGCTCAGATTAAAGCAGAGCTGGGTGCTGAGGGAGGAAAACACCCAGGTTTTCTTCAAGGGTATCTGTACGTATGCAGCTGGGACAGCCCGGTTCTCAGAGGAATTGTCTGATCAGCTCTGTCGCTGCAATGCCCTCCAATGCTGCTCTTGGGTTCTGTTCACTTTGCTGCAACACCATGAAATGGGATAATACTAGGAGGAGCAGTTATTTTTCACTAGCAAACAAGGATCAGGGACTGTTTTCCATGCACACTTACCCCCCCCCCCCCAAACAAAACCAGGGTGCACGCTCTTATTAGAACCACACATTTCAAACTATCAGAACCCAGTGGAAAACTTCAGAGCAAGAGAAGTTATAGTCAAGACCCAGGTTTGGGCTGCCTGGGTCAGGCTGTTCTGCACAGCTTACATACATCCACTTCCTACTTCTGTGATACAGAGACATTAGGACCAGGACAGTTTAGGCTCCAATTTCTAAACCAAAGGGATAACTTGACTGTATTCAGATCTGAAACAAACTCTTAGATCTTCTGAGACTCATCTGTCAGTGCCTAGCATCACGCTTGTTTCACTCTGTGATTTTACGTCCACTGAGGAAGAGTGTTCTTAGTCAGCATTCTGGCAATGCTGAGCTCTTCCCTCTCACGTTTTACCTGCTTTGGGATTTGGTTTTAACTCCAGGCTTTCTTGATCCGTGGCATCCAAAATCTTGTATTTGCTTTTTCTCTTGGCTTTTCCTTTTCGTCTAAAGGGGAAGAAAAGGAATCAAGAGACAGTCCATTACTAAAAAAGGCTGAATAAAAACCAACTCTGATCTTAAAAGCTTATTTCAGATTACCTTCACATCAGGAAATAAAACAGTGAAAACATTTCCTTTGTTGCACATTTTTAGGTTAATCCAAATCTTGCTTCTTAACTGAACCCAGACTTCTAGGACTTCAATGTTTCACTTGAAACACTAAGTGACAAAAACTAGAGTCCCAGGGCTAGGCAGATGACCTGCTGGGTTTGAACCTTTCACCTAATGCAGCTCCTAAAGCACTGATACAGTGTGGGGTTATGGCCTCAGTCCTACCTTTTGCAACAGCAGATCACCATCCAGGATAAGATTCCAAAGGCAACCACAATGACAAAAGATGCAATGATCACATACAGGACACTCCACTCTGAAAGCAAAACACCCCAGAGATAAAGACGGTTTAGCACCTCATACATTTGATGGTGTGCACTTCAGATGACTATTTTTGCAGAGAGAAAAAAGGAAGGTCTGACCCTTTGCAGAATTAGAGGCTACCACCCATCACTGACAGCACCACTAACTCATCCATGGAAGCCAGCCTCGCTGCAGAAGGGCAATGTGTGTTAATTAATTGCTTTCTCCTGGCAGGAAAGCCTCTGTAGGGGCATGACAGAAACAAGGGGTGATTTATACATTAAGAATGGACTCAGATCTTAGGGAGTGCTCAGTGAGAGGTTCTGAAGAGAACTCCCTTCCCTATCCCCTGCCTAGAAGGTTGTGTTGTGAAACTGGGGCAGGGACTTGGTGAGAATCATGTCAGAGATACTGTGAGAAAGGTGCCTGCTACTCTGCCCACCCTGGCTTTCAAACACTGTTTGCTTTCCCCAGGTTGCACATACCACAGTTGCTTTCACCATCTCCCATCTGCACCCTGATGAAGTTCTCCATCCAGAAAGGGTCACAGATGCAACGCTTGGTGAAGGAGTCACAGCGCCCATGCTCAGAGCAGTTCAGCTGACACGCTATGGACCAAAACCAGCAAGGTGAACTAAAAGACTCACACATGAGGCAAAACCAGGACATTACAGTTCAATAAGGACAATTCCCATAGGCTCTATTTCAACCTAGTCACTCATAGACTAGATTCATAGCCTAGCCATAATCACAAGCAGTAACAAGTGCAAACATAAGCATGTAGGCTCATCCCTAACTAAAAAGTCCCACTTGACTAACAACCTAACACACATAATATGCTAAGAAAACTCTGCCTAATAAATCATGAATTTGATATGAAAGTTATGGAATTCATATATTTGTAATGGAAATGTTTTTAAATAGGGTTTTGATTTCCAAATTCAAACCCAGCCTGCGAAACAACCAACAAACAGATCCTTTAAAAGGACCAAACAGAACTGAAGAGAGGCTTTTGAAGGCCACAAAACCACAAGATTAGAAAGTCATGAAAATAATTACTTTACATAATTCTAGTTTAAAATATCTAACTGATCAGCAAATGATCCTCACAGAATGGAACTCATGAAAGAAAAACAGTGCTAAGGCAAAGCTGTAACAAAACGATGGAAAGGCAACATTTCCTTCAGACTGATGTATGTGCTGCAGAGGAAATGAGTATGTTCACAGCTACCAAGATCTGCAGTTCTATTGTTTTCAGTATGACACTCATTTTGTTGGCTCTATTCCATTAACACAGGATTTTAGTTTTATAAGGATCAATCTGCTTTTGATTTTGCAAATTTTTATCTTCCTAGCAACACAAGTAATCATTTACATAAACAGTGAATAGACAGAGCCAATGGGTAAATAACTGATTAATGTGTAGTCTAACAGACTCTTACTTACTGACTGTGTTAATTTCCAATGCTCTGAAGATGAGGAAATCTGACTGTTGTTTCCTTAGTTCGTTTTTTAGTGTCCAGGCTACCTCTCGTCCTTTGAATATCTGATGGGGAGGCTGGTTCTGCACAAAAAACACCATCTTCGTGCTGGAATCAGACAAAAATGATCACCTGCTGCTTCTCCAAACCTCAGGTACAGAGACATTCTCCCCAGTCTGTCATTAGAGGGACTTATTCAGCATCCCAAATTTATTTGAGGATTAGACGTCTGGTTCCATCTTGAAAGCAATGATGGTAGAGCTGGTCATACAGCACAAGACCCTTCAGGACATCTGAGCCATCCATATTCTCAAAGGTAGGGCTGGACTGTTCTTGAGTTTGCTTATCACACACATCTTTGCATGCTCATGCTAAGCACACAAATCTCCAAACTTTAAGGTCATCCCATTTTCATAAACTCCCTCCCTTAGACTTTACTACACACAGGACCTGGAGGCTCATTTAACTGCTCAGCACAGAGCCCCAGCATCTGAGAAGACAGTGAAGGTTTACAGTCTTTTGCAAAGCTTTGCTTAAATGCACAAAGCATTCTAGGCAGAAAAAAACCCCACAGGTGTAGAGAGGATACTGTACTCTGCATCTTTTAGTGCATTAACTTTATGACAGAAGAACTTGCTCCCCTAGGCTCACTCGCCTTGCAGAGCCCTGTGTATCCTTCAGATTCACTGAAGGATGCTTCACATTTACTATTACCAGTGAGCCTATGAGTCAACAGCATGTTAGCAAAGCCCTCAGAGTATGTGAACAGCAGCTGGGGGAAAAAGATCTTTTTTGAACAGTACAAGCTACTTTGAAGGTTGAGGCAAAAAATGGGATCTTCAAGCCATCTGTCAGAAAATAATCTGCGCTTTTGTAACACTTCCCACTCTTTTATTTACTTAATAAACACGAAGCAGATGAAGTGTTCATTGCAAGGATCCCTTACTTGCCTTACTCAGTGAAGAGCAGTGGCAACTGGCCTGGTCATGGCAGAAATAGAAAGGTAATATTACAACAGAAAGTGCTGGCTCTTCTCTTCTGAGCTCTTTAGGTTTGCACGGATAATGAATTCTGATTTTACTGCTACAGCAGGCAACGTGGACATGAAGGAATCGATACGTTACAGAACTCAGGAAAGTGTAAAGTACAACTGCAGATTTATTGCTGACTTGCTGCATCATTTCAAGCATGTCCCTTAAATCTTTTTCAGTGCTTTATCTACCTTAAAGCTACTCAACTTTAGTAAAAATTAAGTGCAGTGTTGCACTTATTTCAACAGATTACCACTCTGCCCTTGATAAACTGTTGCCATGCCACTCACATGCATGTTCAGGCATCCTCAAACACCCCTACAGCAACGATGGACCACTGTCAGTATGGCGATATGTCCAGCTGCTGTGACAATGCTGTAGTACCAGCAGCTGAAGTTTTCTGCAGAACAGTGCATTACCCTAACCAGCCACTTGTGCAGAGGTAGAAACATCCTTCAGATAGTCTTCACAGTTTTCAAAACCAGGTAAGATTAGTTCTTAATGTAATTAGTTCTTAAAATACAGATTTGGGGGGCAAAGACTTCAGCAACAGCAAACAGTTTTTAAGGACAATGCATCATCTCCAGAGGGGAAGATGCATCTCCAGAGACCTGCCTGGCAACACACCTTCTCTGACCCAAGCAAGCAGGAATATCACATGTTAAGCAACATTTCCACACATTCCACTTGTCCAGGCTATTTTCCAAGAGAAAACAGCCCTTGGTTTACTAAACTCTCAAGCAATCCCCCTCCAGGTACAGTCCCAGATGAACCCTACCTTTGCTCAGTGTATGGCTGGATCTTTTGCACAGTGATGTCGGAGTCGAGGACCCCCAGCAGAACGCCTATCTGTCGGATGAACATCCCCTTCTGCCTCTCCGTCAGCTGGCTGACATTAACATCCAGAATTATCTCCACAAGGTTGTTTTTCCTAGGATCTAGTGTGAATGTAGATAATACAGATCCTTAGAACTTCTATTTAACAGTCTGGGGACAAGTCAGGTTTCTAGTATCTCTCTAGAATGTTTCTGCTTTGAACACAAGATTACAGAATCACATAGGGCTTGCTAGTTCAATGCAGGCAACTGTGCTATAGCACAAAACCCAGACTCACCAGGTTTGACTTCCACTGTGGTCCTTTCCACATCACTCTCTCCTTTGGCATCTGTTACTCTGAGGTGGAATGTGTAGGTCCCTTCTACCAGATTGGACAGAAGGAGGACAGGGTGATGGTCTGAATTATTTAAGACTTCCTGAAAGGCAGAGCAAAATAAGTAGCAGGAAACAAACTAAGCATGATATCTCATCATGCCTGGGGATAGCACTACAAGGTAACATGCACAACGAGCTTTATAGTTGCTCAGGAGCTGTCAGTGCTTCTTTCACTGAGTTTGTGATGCACCAGACTGCCATTTAAAAAAGAAACCTCACCCCAGCTGCAGGGCTCCCCTCGTCCCGCGTCCACAAGTAGCTGACAATTCCCTTATCATCAGAGGACTTCGATCCATCTAACTCAGCTGTACTGGTGGGCAGGGTGATGACAACATTACCAGCAATCTTTGCAACTGGTGGCTTGTTTATTTCTAAGCAAACAGAAAGGAAGCAGTTGGAGTAAAAATCTGGTAACATCTAATAAAAAACTACTGCCTTAGATCTCCACTCTACGCCAGCAATCCTGGCTAACCCTGAGAGAAGGGAAATTACAAACTGCAGGATTCAGCTGAAGATACTGTCCCTCCAGAAAAGGGTAAATCCCTGACTTAAGAGAAGGCCATTTCAGCATCCTCCACATTATTTTGCACCCATTCCTTACTCTTACTGTGCCTCTGAACTGCTCAGAGGTAACCTGTGTCTTGGGCAGCTCTGCTCATGGCTGGACATACCTTCTTTGACAATGACGTTGACAGAGCTTTGGCTCTGCAAGTTCCGCTCATCTTTAACTGTCAGAGTAAACTCATACGTCCCAACCTGAAGGCCTGTTACAGTGGCAATGCTGCTGTTGGCATTCTCCAGCTTGACACCATCCGGGCCCCTAACCAAAGCACAAGAGGATCAGTTCAAGCTTTGCACAGACCACAAGAGCTCACACCAAACAGGAGGCTTGAGCTCAAGCAGAGTATATGGGGATGCAAACAGACATTACCTGGAAATACAGCATCCTTGACAAAAGCAAAATTATTTCCTCCAGTTACAGCAAGATAATCAAAAGAGGAAGTGCAGCATTCAGAACAAAAGTATAATTTCTGGTGGTTTCGTGTTTTGGTTATTTTTAAACCAGGAGAGCACTGACACCAGCATTCAAGTAGGGTTTAAAAAGTGGTACTTTCAGCAGAATTGGCTTGAGAATTGCACAATAAGCCATTTTTTTTGCAGAAAAAGTATACAGCAGAAACAGTTCATTTCTAAGAGCTTCACACACACTTTGCTTTAGCAAACAGAAAAAGCTACTGCAAGTTGCTCACAGATGTTTTCCTGGATTCCCTAAAGCACTTCAGTGTATTTAGAGTCTGAAAAGAAGCGTGACAATGAGAACACCACTGCCCCATTCAAACATTCTGCAAAAGCATCAATTTGGAAAGCCCTGCTGTTGTTGGATAACAAGAGTCTCCTTTATAAACCATAACCACGCTTCATCAGGCCTAGAGATGAAGGCAAAGCTACCTCTAAAGCTCAAGCACAACTCCACCTCTCTCTAATTAAAGATAACATAAACATCATTCTAGTCACTGGTAAAGTTTGTCAGGGCCAGTGTGACCAGGATTTAACACAAGTAGGAGGATTCTTGTTGTACATTAAAGCCCCAGCAACATGCATAAGAACAAGTTGGAAGAAGGTTGGTTACTCAGGGAGGTTGTGAATGCTCCATCCCTGGCAGTGTTCAAGGCCAGGTTGGACGAGGCCTTGGGTGAGATGGTTTAGTGTGAGGTGTCCCTGCCCGTGGCAGGGGGGTTGGAACTGGATGATCTTAAGGTCCTTTCCAACCCAAACTATTCTATGATTCTATGATACCCACCGGGTTTTTTCCCAAAGAAAGGAGACTATCTTCTGGTCATCTGAGCTCTTGCTGCCATCTAGAGTGGTGCTGTCCACAGGAAGAGTTAATTCTTTATCTGGACCAGCATCTGCCTTTGGGGGTTTATTGTTCTCTGAAAAAGGATGCAGTATTTTTCATACACACACCACAAACCCCAGCAATAAGATTTTTTTCCATGATTCCTAGTATATTTCTTGCCCATTATCTCAACCTTGCACTCAAGTGATGTTAAAAGCAGTCAGATCAGTGTTTCACTCACACGTCTGCAATAAAGGCAAAACAAGATGTAGAAGTTCTGATTTTTGCTCTCATTCTCTAAAGACTACTCCACTTTTCCTGCTCCTGTCCTGGCACCTAGCACTATGGGCAGAGACAGCTGCTTGGAAATACAATCTTGCCATTACACTGGGATAACATCAGTTAGACTACATTGTGTAAAATAAGAGAACAGCCTAGAAAGGCAATAAATCAACAAATATGAATATCAGCAATATACCAACCCAGAATGGTCCTAAATTAGAGCAGCTTTTCTGAAGGCAGCACAAAGCTACCATAAACTCCAGAGTACGTTGACAGATTGATGCTCACCTTTAACCTCTGGAATGGAAGTGCCAAAAGCAGCTAATGGCAGCTTACCTGGCTGGACTATCACAGTGACCTCTGCTGTGGACTGGTGCCCAGCAGAATCAGTCACTATTAGCTGGTAAGTGTAATCCCCTTCTTGCATTGCAGAGAGCTGCAGCACTGGTGTTCTCACCCCCTTTGAGAAAACATATTCATGTATTAAAACAAATCCTTATGCAGATGAAAACAGAGAGAGAAGAATCTGCTTCCAAAATAACTATTATCAGCAGGTTTTAGGGGCTGATTACTAACTCCTGCTATGGGGCCAGGAGTCTGTGCCACTTGAGCATACAAGGCACTTACAGCTAAATTTATACACAGCAACACAAACACTGTTGTGGAACGTAACAAGAGTAATGCCATACAGGTGCTCACAATGTCTGAGATTCAGTAGTTAGCAACTCAAGCAAACCCTGTGGGGAGCCCTGTGCAAATCATACACATCGTGAAGCTGATTCATGGATTTTCTTATTCCATAGATTTGACAGTAGTAATAATCTTTAACAGAAAAATGATGACATGGAAACAGGTTCCATCTTACACTGTTCAGGACTGAGGAGTATCTGGCCAGTATCAGCAAAATTTAGAATCCAAGGCTCAACTCAAAAGATCCATCCCATTGCATTTGCTCAGCTTAGGAAATGCTTCGCCTGGTACAGTGGGTTATCCTGTGTGACTAAATGCCATCCTGACCAGCAGATACTTAAAAGGGTCACACAGTCTGGCTTCCACAGCTGCTTAAGAATCCCTGCTATACCATCTCTGATTCAGCTACCACTGGTGTTCTGAGAAGTCAGCAAAAGAACACGCTTCCCTAGCAGCCACACAGGTTCAAGTGAAATCCATGGGTGTGATCAAGTTATGCTGAGACCTGTTGTATGGCATTGCTCAAGAAAGAAAACAGGATGCCAGTGAAAACCTGTGGCTAAACTGGTACACAGCTGAACCACTAAGCCAATATCAGCTTCATGCTGATTTAGTTTTAAGTATATATTTAATCGTCACATGCTTGCTCTGTAGGATTATCAAAGACATTTGCTAACAGTCAATTAAAAATGGTTTGATTTTAGAGAAAAAGCCAGTTAACCAGTAACCCAAATTGAGTCCTGGAGACCTGCACTGACCTGCATCTCCATCACCTTCCCTTTGCTGTTAGGGCTGAGCAGCCACTCATAGCTGACAATGCTGTGATCATCTGTGCTCTGATTCCCATAGAGGGTGATGGAGTTCTGAGGCAGCGTGATCACTTGGTTTGGGCCTGCATTTGCCACTGGAGGATAATCCACTGCTTTGTTCACAGTCAAGTTTGCAGTGGTGGAGTTACTGGCACCATCTGAGTCCACGACTGTTAGACTGAAGTGGGAAAAGTAAGAAGTGAGAGCAGTGAAGAGTCATAATCATCAGAGCTGAATACAAAACACTGGCTGGAGTGAAGTGAAATCGAATGCAGGTAGTACTACAAAACAGAACTGCTTTTTGCTAAATCTAGATGTGGAAATCAATCTGATTAGTTCATATATCAACTGCTTAAGAGGAGACAAGCATTCAGCTATAGGTACTCAGGTTTATTTTATTTTAAATAGATCTGCTGATGCAGGGTATGGACATCACACCAAAATACAGAAGAAAGGGAAAACACAGAACAAACAGGAAAGTAAAATCAGTTACTCTTTATTACTCACGTATGTGAATAAAACCATTAGGCCTCATTCACTTATCTGGGACAAACACACTGCATTTAAAAACTGGATTTAAAGCCTGCATTTCTTCCTAAGTCTCTACTCAAGCAGTTTAGATTTGATATTTCAAGAGACATTTTGTAGGGCTGGCAGACCATTCGTTCCCTTCTGCCATCATCTTAAACCAGTGCTACAACGTAAGAATAGAAAGTAGCTGAATAGCTTATCTCTTCTGAAGTGAAAAGCTATAAACTACCTGAAAGTGTAGAAGCAGAGAGAGGACATCACAAAATAGAGTTCTCTCCACGTTGATTTTCTTTTCAGGAATCTTGTAGGTTTTACTCTCAAGGGATGAGAACTGATCAACTTTTCCAGGGAATAACCTACCTGAATGTGTAATTCCCGGGTACCAGGTTGGTCAGTGTCAGTATGGCAGTATCACTAGAAACCTTCTCCTCTCGCAAAGGACCCTTTAGTTCTTCCCAGTGATAGCTGACAATTTTATCATCATCAGTGCTTTCTAATTATGGAAGAAAATGCACATACAAGGAGTTGGGAAACGCTGCTTCACAAACCCCAGATGTTCAGTCCCCAAATTCAGTACTGGTTTAGTGGGCAAAGGCATTTTTGGTGCAAGCCCAATTCATGTTTATGAAACCAGACTAACACTTCAGGAATCTCTGATGCACAGATAACCCAAACTGTGTGCTCTCCTCCACCCTGTTTGACAGGTATACTCAAACACCCTTAATCCCAGGTTTCTATGTGTGCTGGGGGAAAACCCAAACCAAAGCACTTACAAAATAAAGCTAACTGGGAGTAAACCAACTTAAAATTATTTAAAGGAACTCTCCTCTTCTGGCAGGAGAGGCTGGTTCTTTTCACTAATGCGTGTTTGACAGTGTCACAGTTCCCCTTAGACTTGTTCCAAAGGGCCAACCCAGAATCCAACACACAGAAGCCAGGCTTGTTAGACAGACTGCTGCATTTAAAACTGCAGGTACTCACGGCTGCCATCAATAACAGTCGAAATGGTTGGCAGTGAAATCTCCTGGAACTGTGGGGACACGATGGCAACAGGAGGCCGATTCACCCGAGGCTCTGCAATGATATCCAAGCTGTTAGAATGACATCTACAGGCAGATCATGATAAAAAGCCCTGGCCAAGGAACTCTACAAGTAAAACTACTCGGCCTTTGTGTGCCAGTAGCAAACAGAATATGTACTACACATCCTCTTTCATCTCCCCAGCCCTATCTGTACCCTCAGTCCTGCAGTCAACGAGTCCAGGAGAGGAGTCCAAAGTGTGGAATTGCTGCGGCCCACAGCTCCAAGACAGCCAAGATCAGACTGACTGCAGAGAACTGCACAGTCAGTGACAGTGATTCATGCTTTCAGCAAGTTAGACACCAATTTGGGGAAACAGTGTGAACAACAGGGATTTATGAAAGCAAGGAGGTGGACTGCCATCACATTAGTTCTCTGAAGATGGCTGCTTTGCATCAGTTCTCCCATACTGGTCAAGCATACAAGGACAGACAACAGTTTCACACCTCAGGAAATGCCTTAATGCACATACATATATCTTGAGTTTACAGCACAACGAATTTTCACTACATGAAACCACTGTCCAGCCAAATAAGCCAAACACCACGATGCAGGTACTGGTTTGTCAGAGACAGGTGAAGTTAAAAGACACAATGCCAGTGACTCACTTGGATTCACCGTTACGTTCACATAACCCTCTCCACGTGCATTCTCCCCATCAACGACGACTTTGAATTCATACAGACCAACAGTAAGCTGGAAGGAAGCACAAAAGATTATTTACCTTCAGGATGGTCAGGAGCTATTAGAAGATTGAGTTACCATGTTTTAGCACACTAGCAGCATAAACCATGGGCAATTATACTTCAACCTACGCACACACAGCAAAGGATGGTTTCCAAGCCAAAAGGGTATTACGTATCTTTCAATTTACAATGGGCTATGCAGAAACCAGGCTAATATTTCTTTGCACCACAGGTGCTTGTCAGTCAAGATTTATTTTCTAGCAACAAGAAGAGAGATAAGATTAGTTCAGGTTGTCTGGTCACAGGAATCTGTATGAGTGGACTGCATTTGAGATGAGGAAGGCTGAATGGAAGAGAAGAAAATCTCTTCTTGGGTGTTTTCACACAGGGAAGTATTTCTTCCCTTCCTTTCAGGTGACATGGATCAGACAATAACCCCTTCATCATTAACTGTTGAACCAAATGAGAGGGTGAAAGAGGACTATGCGCTGGACAATGATCGTGATATCCAAAAAGCTGAAACTCTGAGAGAGACAGACATGCTCCTTTTGAAAGGCTTCCATCTGCATGATATCGCGACTAAAGCCTGTAGGTGTCTTCTGAGTGCAGCAGAATCCAAGATGCTCAAAGGAATGTCTCACAAATACAGAACTGCATATTCACACAACATTTAAAGCCATTTCCCTGTTAAGAATCCTTTCAGTGTTAGAGCTTGTCTAAAAGCAGCAGCCAGGGACATGCTATGAGAAACTTCACAGCTCTCGTTAATGGAGTCAGCAAGTCCCTCTTTCAGTGGGACTTCAAGGCTTCAGACCTGAACAAACCACCACACTGCTTCAGAAGCAGAAATATTCACAACCCTTTGTTAATGCTAAATTGTGTCATTTGTATGGCTTGACACACTGCTGTAGGCAGCTTTTAGATCCCCAAATCAATTTCTTCCTTCCCTCATGCCAGATCAATCTTGTTTTTAGAAGAGACTTAGAAGAGGGCTTGCAGTCAAACGTTGGCTGCCTGCCCATCATGCAATTTCCTATTCATCTTGAAATCACACACAAGTCTTTCCTGGCTGCCAGGGTCCCCATCTTCTCCACTTAGCATTTAACACAACAGGATACGAAGCAGCAAAAGCTTTACCTTAGACAGCTTGAGGGTCTGGGAGTGTTTCCCTTCCATTTCTCCACTGTAGTCTTTTGGATGAGTGATCAATTCCCACTCATAGGAATAAGTGGTTCCTTAAAAAAAATAATTAAAAAGATACAGACATCTGTTTTTAAAAGGCTGTCTTTCTGCCATGATTAAAAAAAAAAAAAAAAGCAAAGGTATTAAACATTTACAAGGCACATTCTGCCACGCTACGGAGAAATAAGACAGCTTGGAGTTTGGGCTGCAGCTTTTTGGGAATATACCCAGGAAAAAAGACAATCTGTGCTTCTAAACACATGTACTCTGGAGCCAAAACCCATCTTTCAGCCTCTAAGGCATTAAAGAGCTTTGGAACAATCACAGCTCCAGGATAATGAGAGAGAAAAGTTGTATCATATCCTCAAGTCCTGCAGACACAATGTAATGTCAGTTTTTGAACAAGAATGCATCTATCCCTGTTGCTGTACAATACATAACATGCTCACTTTTCCCCTGCAGCCTCCCACTGCCACTGTGGACAGAGTTATAGATATGAACTTTACAAATACCTGTGAACAATCTGCATGATGAAATGAGGAGTGTGATGAGCAGAGAAATGTGTTCCTCAGTGTGCCAACCCTCCCAAATCAGATTCCAAATCACCAAATGAAAGATCACTTGCTAAGACAGCTTGTCACCCATCAGCAAATATCCTGAATAGATGCTGAAGATCCACTGCTTCCTCAATAGCACTCGAGAACATGCCATCTCCCAAATCTAATGACTTTGTAGCACTTTCAATGTTTTTTGTGCCTGGCTATTTTCTGCGAGTGGCAGCATATGGTAATAGCACAGGATGAAAAACTTCCACAGGAAAGTGTTCCCTGACAAAAGACATTTTCAAGACCATCTTTATTTAATGCCCTATATAACACCCATTTGCCATTTCACCATCACAAGCCCTTAGCAGAATTCCCAGGGAAGCCTTACCAGGTGGTTGCTCAGGGAGCACAAATGCATTCAGCTGAACTTCATTCTTTGGCAGGGTCACTTCAACGCTGTCTCCAGCAGAAACCACCAGTTCCTTCATAACTGAGAGGGAGAAACACAGAATTGAAAGAGGAACAGGGAACATAAATAGGTACATCAAAACCACCTTGGTGTCAGCGTCTGTGGAATAAAAACCAGCTACAAATGGCTGTATTTTGTAAATATTCCATCACTCAATATAGCTCCCATTTCAAGTTTTGCTGTCATTGTTAATGCAAAAGCACTAATAGGGTTTTAGAGTTTTAAGACAAGCCCAAAATGGCTCAGTCACCTCTCCCTCTTTGCAGGCCCTGTGCAGCTCCTGCTCCCTTTCTAAAGAGCTGAAACATGACCTCAGGCCCTGTACAGGGGAATCTATTCACCCAGGCCCAGCAAGATGGAAAGGGTTTTACCTGACAGGTTTTTGGCGGTGAACCCAGCTGCAGCCCCATGACACAGCAAGACAAACACTGCTGTTTACCAACCTGCAGCTCTAGACCCTCATAAATAGATGAAGAATCCATGGTATTTCTTTTTTGAAACACTGCCTGGGGGCTGAGATTTTTTTTTAAACTGCATAACTACTTCACTGAGTATGGAACCTCAACATTCAGTCCTGGTCCTTTTGTATTTTCTTTTCAATCCCTGTCTTTCCATTTCATTTCAAATAAATTGATAGGTTGTTGTTAAAGACTATGGGGTGAAGACTTGAAAACTACAGCCAGTGGCATTTTTCTTCTTGTTTGTAGCATTAAGTTAGCCAGAAAGTTGACTGCACTTCGGGTGCTCAGGTTCTCACCTGGAGTGGTGGCAGCAGTACTTGGTGACACAGCAGTGGTGGTCTGGGTTGTAGGAACACTGCCATTTGTGGGAACTCCACTTGGCACAGAAGTAGCTGTCTGCATCTTCGCTGTGCTTTTCACTAGCACAGGGCTGACTGTGGGCAACACATCTGAGGAGTGAGGATGGATCAAAGAATCATCTGGCTGCCCAGGCTTCTCAGTCTTCCCTGTGGCTGTCAAGCCCTGTGCTACAGGACTGGAGAACGTAGCCAACACTGATGGTTCTGGTGCAGATGTTCCTGTGTGGATCTGTAAAGCAAAAAGCTGTCTTAGTTTGACTTGAACACCGAATGCCAGTTTTATTTCCTGTGTTTAAGCTCACTTCGCCTCCTCCAGTTAGAGGCTGAAAAGTCCCTGGTTTGTTTTTCCCAGAAGCAGGATATTTTATGGCTTCCTCTTTTCTCCTCTGCATTGCTTCTCCATGTTTTTTCTCCACAGCAGATAGGCCATTTCTAGCTCAGCCGAGCACTAGTTAAGACCACAGATTTAACTACAGCACCTTAAGTACCATGGCTGCTCATGTGGCAAGCACAATGAAAGATCTAGGCTCATAATTGCAGTGAGTGCAGCTAAAAGAGAGGTGGGGTAAGACAGAAGCATGAAACAGGGACCATTTGGTCTATTTTGTCCATGTATTCTAAAGCCCTGCAGTTGGCAAGCAGGGAGCAGGAGGATTGCACTGGCATTTTTATGGAATAATCAAATCACTGCAGCAAGAGGAAATTCATTTCAGAATCACTCTTCAAAGCAAGGTGAGCTGCCCCAAGCAGCTCCCTGCGTGCATGCCACAGGAGATGCTACTGGGGCAGAAAGCTTGCTCACATCCATACAGGATGAGGCACTTTATTGAAAACAATCAAAGTGTCAGGAACTATTTCCTTCCTTTCATCACAAAATTCCTTTTACAATACCCAGCCCCATTCTAGTTGTTAGCCTGCCAGGCAATACTCTTGACAATTTGCTTTCCATCATGAAGAACATGTGTGCAGCAGATTTTGTTGAGCTAACTCTATTTTGAGAACATCTGCTAAATATTTCAAATGAAGGCATTTACCATCTTAGACTTGGGAAGTGTTTTGGAGCTGAACTACCCACCCCTAGAGGAGCTGATCAAAAGCTCATACTAGAGGAAGTATTCTCAAGCTTTTACACCATGCTGTGGGGCATTCAGGCCAGGAAACAGGCACTGGAAAACGCTTTAGACCATAGTGAACAAAACGATGCTCAGTGAATGGGCTGGGCTTCAGAAAACACTAAATGCCAGCTGAAAAACTCAAGCCATGTTGCATGTATTAAACAGCCAGCCAAGAGTAGCAACAAAAGCAGCACAGGCTTCTCTGCAAGAAATTCTTTTTGCAGTTGGGCCAACTGTTTTCTGTCCCATCTCTCAGCTAACTTTCCTTCCGTCACCAAATATAAAACATCTCAATCCATCAGTAGGTTTGATTAATATCGCAGCTTTATGGACCAAAGAATCAAATGCTATTTGCTAGTGTAACAGACACGAGCTGGTTTTCTCTATTTGCTTACTTGCTGATGGATTTCTTTTATCTTTAACAGAACTATGGATTCTCTGGAACAAAGATGCAGGCAAAATCTGGCATACTGCTCCATGCTGCTCTCCATTGGCAGGCTCAGGACTGTGGCTGTTCCAAGCAGTATCACCTTGCACCCATTCATAATTCTGGTCAGCTCAGGATACTGTCTCCCTTTTACCCAGGTTAGAAATGCTGGCATGAAAAGAGGAGCAGGAACTCAAGACAGACTCTGCACGGGAGCAGAAGGTCTCCTTGACTTCATTCCACTATGGGAGACCACTTTTTGCTTAGCAGACCAGCATCTACCTGCTGGGCACAGCAGCCAAGGCTCCACTTTGGTAACATTTTCGGCGAGTTGGATACTTCCTTGACTTACTTTTTTAATGCTTAAAATAACCCACTTCACAGTTAAGAGAGATCCTCTCCCTTCCAGAAGTCTTTGGGATGAACTGACAGCCAAACGTCTGAGAAGAGCTGAATTAGATAAGCTTTGCCTGGGGCAAAGTAACAGTCAAAAATGCCTCAAATGCTTGCAAGCTGAGACATTTCTTATCTTTACTCCATAACCCTGAATTCTTCAAAGCACAGAACAGATTTCATTCTTGGGGATGAAGGAGGAAGAGACTAGAAGTTTGCCAGCTGTCCTACCTCATTAGCTTAGAAAGTAGAGAGAAGTAGCATATTGGCCTGAGTGAACATAGGAGTATCAGACACTTCTGACTCCAGCTGCTAACTGCCTTTGGCCTGGGACAAGTGACCTGGCGTCTGAAACTCCTACATGTGTAAGGTAGAACTCAACTACATGCATCAGAACCCACACTGAACCTGTGAATTGAAAGAATAATATCTGCAGAATTTTCTTTCATGTTTTTAATTTAAACGGGCCTTACTTTGCTACGCCTGGTCTGAATTTACAAAATAGGCTCTTTTCAGCTTAGATTGTGTCCTAGATGAGCTGTTTGTAAAGATCCCTGACACAAACATGTGGTTAATGTCACAAAGCGTGTCAGAGTTAGTGCTGGCTGTGAAGAGAGACCTTTTCTCCTCCCTCAAAGGGTAAAAGCACCCAGCACTAGCAGGAAGCAGGACACCAAGAGTCAAACACTGGGCTTGCTAGGGCCAGCGGTAGTCAGAGCCGAGTGCAGGAATGAGCTCTCTGGCTCTGCTGTAGCAGCTCCACTTTAAAGGCTGCAGCCTTTCCCAGTCTGCCTGCAGAGCTGCTGCAGTGCTGCAGCAGCCCTTCACATCAGCAGTGCTGCACTTAAATACTCCTGCTTGGCTATCAAATGCTGTATTTTAAAATTGACAAGTATTTCTACAACAAGGCAGAAAAAAACCTGGTGCCTGGAAAATGTCAGTCACTTTAATGGAAAAGCACAAATTCTCTTGCTTAGTTAAGGGCTGATGATCAGGGTGTGCTCTGGTTCATCCTGGTACACTCTCCTTCACCCACCTCTGGTTCCATAGCATGGGTACAGTAAGACCAAATGTAGCCCAGGTGAAGTTGTACTGATTTCAGCATGCATGTAACTTGCCTTATTTTGGTCCATCAGCAACACAGCTTGGAAAACTCCCTGCTTTAGCACTGACCTCCTGCAGAGGCTGGCCACATCCCAAGTACACAGCCTTGAATGTTATCTCCTTGGCCTGAATTAAACTGCTCACAGATCAGAAATGCAAGGACAGCTGCATAGCTTGCTGTGTAATTTTGCAGGTGAAAGTTGGATGGTTCAATAAGCAAGGAATTAGCCCAGGGCTGGAGAGAACCAGCTTTAGCTCAATACTCCTGTTAAGGTGGAGTTTTTAATTCTTTCTCCTCCACAAAGCCTCCATCCTAAACCTCAAAAGCCTGACTGCCAGGAATTCCATCACAGCCAATGTATTTTACTCAGATGTTTTTATTTAGATGAATCTGCATTTTGTCAAGAGATACGGACTTCCTTCACAGCAAGAACCAGTAAGGAGAAGAAAAAGATCTTGAGTCAGCCCTAAAAGCTGTGGAGTTCTAGAAAACCAAACATTTGTGTGGCTTTAGTGCATGATTTCACATGCCACCCGGGCTGCCCTGGAGCTCCCAGCAGTGTCACTTGGCTGCTCTCCACATCCTGCTCCACAGGGTGGTGGCTCAGACCAGTCACAGCCCTACCTGGAACCAAGATTTGAATGCAAGGGAGAGAAACAAATTCAGTTAAGTTTCCACAACAAGAACGTAACTACACAAAAGAGGCACTGGGCTTCGACGGTGCCAAATCCTAGAAACATGGCAAAAGGTATTTAAGGAACAGTTTCACAAAGCAGAATTCTTTCTACAAACATCATTTAACAATGTAAACGTGCCAATTTCTCTTTACCATCTAGATTTACTAATTTAACATTGTACTTGTTTGTAATAGACTAAAATGGTTTCATTCAACCAATGCCAATGTAAGCTTTTGTGGATTTGAGAACCTGAAGCAGTCTTCAACAACAGAAGAAAAACCATAGCATTAAGATGCCAAGCCAAGCAAGCAGCTGATGTGAAAGTACAGTGGAAACTCCACGCAGGAGTCTATAAAATACCATATTTAACTGCTTCTATTCAGCACTCAAAGGAAAACAGCTTATTTTAGTTTTGTGGGTCTAAAAAGGTACTTTTACAGGTAACAGTTTGCAGCTCCCAGGCACTTCCCACTGACATCACATCTCGCTTTTCCTTCTACCTGGCAAATACACCATGTGATTATACAAGAGATTAGCATTAGCATTATCATGACCTCCATCTCTGCTCCCCTTTCCAAAGATAGTTTATCCTGGCTAGGAAGAGGGGGAGAGAAAAAACCCTACCACCCAATAAAGCAAACAAAAACCCCAACCCTTGGCCTTGCCTTGTTGACAAGAGGCTCAAAAAAGGCATCCAGAAAGGTACCTTATCACTTAAGGGCTTTTAAGTCAAAGTCTACATAAAGCAAACTGAGCAGAAGGGTGACAGTTGTCCAAAGCAGCCCCATTTCAGCCCCAGCAATCCCTTACCTGTGCCAAGCCAGCACCATCCACATCACTTGATCTGTTCACATTATTGCTTTTAGGAGGGAACAGGCTTTTGGGTTTCTGCTCTCCTGGATTCTGTCCATTTTTCTTTTCATTTGGATGGCCTTCAGGAACAGGCCTGTCTGCCACTAAGCGCCTCAGTGCTTGATCCTTCAAGAGCTCTGCTTCACTTCGGCTGCTTCTAGATTTGCTGTCTGATGCTCTGGCTGCAGCCTCCCTGCTGGGGCTCACTGCTATATCCCTTTTCAGGAGTTCTACCCTGTTACCTGCCACGCTCTGCTTCTGCAATGACCTCCGCAGTCTTTTTGTCCTCTTGACAGGGATGCCCCAGTGCAACCACTTGTCAAACCAGGTCTTCACATCACCTTCCCTTTGAAACGTTAAGAGGTGCTCTGTGCTTTTTGATTTCTTTAAAAACACCAAAACAGAGTCAGAGAAGCCAGTCCTGTTTGCCTGACACATGCCAGGGACAGTGCAGTTCACCTGGATGCACATGTTTTCCAAGAACCAAAAGGCATCACAGGTGGGGCTCTGGCAGCAAGCAGCCTGACAGGAGCGCACGGTGTGAAACCCTTCCAGCAGCTGTAAATGGTGATCTTCCCACCATCTCAAACGGCCACCAAACAGGATCTTCCCTGGCTCACATCTAGATCGGTTCCAGTTTGCATCTGGGAAAGAGGAGGGAAGACAAAGACAATTCTCAACCCTTTAAAGTAACAGGCAGTAGATACTCATCACTGTTGTCAAGATTAATTTAGGGCACAGGAGTAATGCAGAGAGGGAGGACAGGACAACAAAATGAAGGCTTCTCAGAAATTATACCTGGCCTCGGGACTTAAACAAAGTTTTAAGCAACAATCTGCACCTCCTACCAAAGGACCACCCCCCTTTTTGACAGTAATGGACAGTAAAGTCATTCACAGCCAAAGAAGTGAGAACAGAAAGGTTCCTGTTTCAGAGAGGACTGTGAGGCACAGCCTGGACAGCGAGGCTGAGGCTACACAGTGAGTTAAAGAGGCACAAACTGATAACACAAATTAGGTCAAACATTTTTAAAAGTCAAGTCATTTAAGAGCACAGATCAGCACTAAAGCAGCAACTGCTTTACATATTTTTTCTACATTTTTCTTAGCATGAAAAAAAATCAGAATGCTTGCAAGGATCAATGGATTAAAGGCTTCCAAAATTCAGAGCTCTGGAGATTAAGGACTCCCTAAAAATAGACTAATGAGCTATGAGGCTGTTATGCTGTGCTGTGTTCATCATCCAAGGGATAACAGGTCACTGGAAGATTACAAACTGTCGCTGGACTCTGAGTAGTGCGGATGCAGATGCTCCAGATCCAGCTCCCTGTCTGGCGAAAGTGGAGTTCTTGAACATAACACAAATGGGAATCTTTTTTCTCCATTAAAATAGTCTGAATTTCAGTTCTAATACCCTTATTCCCATTTCTTGACAGCATATAAAGAAAAGTTCAGTAACATTACTATCCAGTAACCCTGAATACAGACTTCATGTTGCATTATACCCACATTCACTATGTTTGGAACTAAACAAACGGGAATGGATGTAGAGACTACTGATCCATCTGTCTCCGTGAGAAGTCTCACCCCACTTCTCCTGTAACTTCCAAGTTACAAACAAATTAAAGATGAAGTATATTGGGGGACAGGAGAAAGACTGCACAGACCTCCACATCTCATAAACCAAACAGAAGTGATTTAGTGATGGCTCTGTGGTGTGTTTCATGATTCTTAGAAGACATCATGCAAGGTCCCCACTGCCTGGCACTACTTGAACCATTTGACTTCAGGATTCTAGCCACAAGGACACTTAACCTCACACTACTAAGATAGCAAGGAACTCCAATCCTCTGAATCAAAGTGGTATCAAAGTGTTATCACTTTGACCTTAATCCTGCACCATACCTCAGGGGTATGGAAAGTTATAGTACTTTTATAACCTTTTGTGACCTGATTAGCATTGTATGACTGAAGAAAGCAAGTGGAGAAGATTTTTTGTTGTTAATTTTTTTTTTGTTGTTCATTCAGTTATCCCAAACACCAAAACAGGTGTAACAGTTTCTGTACTCCTGGTCATTAAAGATAACACACAATGGTTTTTCTCACCCAGAATGGATTAGCCAGTTTTTTGAAATGAAGGAAAACGGCCATATTCACCTACCTTTTGTGTGGAATCCTTGCTACACCAAGAATTTCAAGTCAAAAAAAGGAACTAACACCACCACAAGGAAAAGTCTGGTTTTGAAACATCAGAAAGCAGGAAACAAAAGTGACATTTATAACTTACTGCGAAGCCAGCTCAGTAAAGGCAGTTTGAAGACAAGGCTCCAGAAAGCTAGTATGAGCTGCAACAGAATGCACCTGGGATCTGTGACCAACTGATGGGGGACCAGAGCTCCCTGCACGTGTCTGAACCCACAACTGTGCAGAAGATGTGGAAGCTCTTCACTCAAGCAACATCCAGCTGCTTGAGTGTGTAAGTGAAACTTTGCATATGTTCGTTCCACAGAGAGCAAGTTTGACATCAGCACCTTTAAAGTCATCACCATCCTTGTCACACTTCATGAACACACAGCACTTCCTTGGAGAGCAAGCAGACAGGCAGCCTGCCTGCCCAGGGCAACAACCGGCCTCATTACACTCCAGAGTGCTTGGACTGACAGTCACCCTGACACAGGGACAAGCACCTGGCACTAACCTGATGGGTCTGAAATTAGGACAGGATATGGGCTGGGGGAGTGTACACACACAAAAGTTGTATGTATGTGTACACACACACTCCAGCCTTAAAGAAACAAGTAGCTAATGAAAGAATAACACTATCACTGGGAATTTCAAAAGGATCTTATCCATTCAAGCTCAGTTGAGTCTAAAAAAAATTAACTTCCTATTAAAGGTGAAGCACTGTCCCTAACATATCCCATGAAAAGAATAATGTACTGCTTCCTACATCCCCAAAATGCCTCCTCCTCCTTGCTCAGTGCCGAGATGTCAGCCCTGGCTCATACACACTACTCAAATTATCAACTTGACACAGAACCCAGTGAAATTCAGCAGCAGCTTTCCAGTAACAGGCTTAGAACTGGGGCACAAACAGAATGGGCCAAAAGTGTTCCCAGGGAAAATTATCCCTTGCGAAAAATCTCCACATAACACAAGTATTATATTAATTCATCTAAAATGTAAACCCTGAATCCTCATAAGCATTTCTCCTAAGCATGCCAGAGCCATGACTTTGCCCAGATGACACAACACCACCATGCTGAGAGCATTCTGCTTCTCTTTTAACTTAGTGCTAAACCAAGATGCAGAGATCTGAATTATATTTTTGGCCAGATTTCACTTCCAGAACTCCGCTAATGCCCACAGAATCTGGTGCAGCACCTGCACTAGGTGGACACAGACCCGCACCACACAAGAGGGCAGTTCCAAATACAAGCAGAGTTACTAACTCCTCCTTACTGAGAGCAGTCTGATCTATTTCTTTCAGTTCCTTGTGCTGAAACCACACACAGCAGGCAGATACAAGAATTCAGAGGCTGGGTCAGGCCAGTAAATCTGGTCACTGATAGCATCAACACCAGCAGCTTCAGAGAAAAGCACAAGAAATGTGTCAGCACAAACAGCCCTGAGCACGAGTTCTCTCCTAAGCCCCAGCAGCCAAGCCAGCCTTGCACAACACACATCACAGGATGCCTGCACAGCGAGTGTGCTTAGTCACTTCTTAACATTGGCTTTGTCATTTTTTTTATTCCCTAATGTATCAGTAGAAAAACTGCTGCTCTTCTTAGGACCTCAGGAGTTCCTGTGCCAGCAAAGCAGCTCACAGCAGGGAAACAGAATGGACAAGAACAGTTTCTATTAATATGCTCAGGTTCATGGGTTTGCTCAGGCACTTAATCCCTCCTGATATCAGATTAATGATTAAAGACTTGACTCTATAGACTTTTTAAATCCATCACATGTAACCAATTATGTCAACACAAGTTCCTTTTACACAACTCCACAGCCACAATTCCTCCTCAGCTTATCAAACTGTTGCTAAAGTGACACAAACAAGACCAAAAGAACAAGCACTCTAGAATGGAAAATGTCCCCACATTGGGATAATTATGTCACATAGATACACTTTCCATATACTTCATGGCTTTAACTCTCCCACGCAGACCAGCCCTCAAATAGAGCAGCACTCTCCAGAAGACACTCCTGGAGTGACACTGGATCCACAGTCCTACACCTCTAAGATATTACTAAAGGCAGGAAATGTCACACAGGGAGTCCAGTCTACGAGGAAACCCACAATCCACCCGACATACCATCCAAATACACAGTGCTGAGTGCCCTTTGCTAGACCAGGAATACAAATACATCTTCCCTGGTTCTAAATTAGCTGCTTAAGAATCAGGTCAGGATCTGAACTTTAAAAGAAAGCCAAACAACAAACAAGCAAAACCCCACACAATCCACTACATGAAAGCCTCATACAAGCCACTAACTCAGTTATTTACTTGAGCAAGACGTTGGTAACTCAAGGTTGAACAGGAAATAAAAAAAGCAAACACAACTCCTCATAGGCAAATACAGACTATTGACACAGCATTTGGGGAGAGTGTTAAACATCTGAGGGCTGAAAAACCATTCCTGCCTTCCCAACTTGCTTTGAGTAACCCTCAGATGAAATCATTTTCCAGGTATTTTCCACTACAGTAGCTGTGGGACAGACAGATCTCTGCTGCTGACCACCTCAATATTCAAAGTAACAGGTCCTTATCAGAGCAAGTTAGGGTTAGAAGAAGAAATCCCATTACACCCCACATCTTTCCCACCCTTCCGATGGCTCATTTAGTAACTGTAATAATTTCACTTTCAGAGTATATTGAACAAGTGAGAGGCACGATATCACAAAAACTACAGGCAGGATCCCAGAGAGAACAGGAGACTCTCACCTGCTGAGGAGCACAAGGCACACAGGCAAGCGCACAGGTAGAACAGCTGCAGACTTCTCAGCTCCCTTGCAGCTTTTCCCAGGCAGTATTGTGACAGAAATTGGGCGCTAATGCTGAGCTTGGCTTCCAGCCTCTTCTCCATGGCCTCTGTGGGCAGCAGCAGGGCTCTAGAAACATGCAAGATATGAAACACAAAACATCCACTAGTAGTTGGTATGTTCTCGCACTGATCCCGGCGACACTCTAAAGAGCACAGAGCATTTGCAGAAGTAAAGGAACATCTTATCTGCTGTGACTTAGTCCAGCTGCTGCTCAGTAACTACCAACATCTGATACTGAAGCAAAATTTGTAGTAGCAAACTTCCCGGTGTTGAGCCACAGCAGGCTACCATGGAGCCCTTCCCCTCATCCTTGGGATTTCCTCCTCCAAATTCCACCACTTTCAGTGGCAAAACTTCCTATATATCTACTATGCAGTCTGCTGGATTGCAAAGATACCTGTGAGAAATTCCAGTTCCAAATACACCCCAGGGGACGGACACCCAGGAGCAACACGAGCATAACACAGGCTCTGATGAACCCAGCACATCTGCTGGAGATGTCATCGCCTGCACATTGGTGCAGGCTGGTACCAGCCAGAAACAAAGAGAAACAAGAATACAGCAACATTGAGAAACACAGCACTAAAGACGCGCTTTGCCTCGGGTTTTGTTCCACAGGGCAGAGATCACAAAACCACTGATAACCCTTCCCAGCCTTCCTAATGCCAAGGGCTCTTTTATAGCCTCATATAGTACTGAAATGTAAATTAGCTTTGAATAATGTGAAATGAAAGCATAAATTATTTCACAAGTAATCGATAGTGTCTGATGAAGCACCTTTAGTCACAAGCAGTTAAACCTGCCATTTCTAAAGAATGAAAGGGAATATTGTTACAGGGAATACTGGGGATGTTCTCACTGACAGCCAGACCCACCAGCCCGCTGCTCAAACACTCCTGTTTGTTAAACCCCAAGGGAATTTCACTCCCCGACCGGCAACAACGAGCGTGAGCTGCAGAAAGGACACACACGGGAGGAAAACTTGGCGATGGGAGATGGAAGCCCGCGGCTGTTCTGCCAACGGGTCGGTAACGGAACTTCCCCTCCCGGGCTCTGCTCCGCCGTCACCTCGCTCCCACAGGGAACGGCTCGGTGCAGGAGGCCTCGGGAACAGCCGGGCTGCCCCGCTCCTGCCAGGCCGGCGGGACACGCCGACAGCGGAGGCCCCAAGCCGGAGCCGCCTGTCAATGCCCCAGGACCGAGAGGAAGCAGCGCAGCGGGTACGTACCAGGGGCGCATGGTGAGGCGAGCCCAGCGGCTCCTCGGCAGCCTCAGGCGGGCGGTAGGACCGGGCCGGGCCTCCAGCGCGGCGGGCCGGGGGGCACCGCGGCCTCCTGCCCCGCGGCCATGGCGCCAGCAGCGGGCACCCGCTCACCCTTCACCCGGAAGCTGAACCTTCGCTTCCCGGAACCGGGACGGCCTCCGCCGGCGCCTGTCGGTCGGTGCCGGAGCTGCAGATCCGGTTATCCCGACGGTCCCGGCTCTCTGCGGGGGGGCGCTCCCTCAGCAGCGGGCCAAGAGGCCGCGCAGCCACAGCGGATTTGCCCACAGGCCGCGCGGGGGCGGTGACTTCAGGGACCGCCCAACAAGGTGGCAAGCGGTTGGGCTGTGGCGCGGAAGCCGCGCGTGGATTGGCTGGAAGGCAGAACGGGGCGGGGCATCGGTGAAGGGCGGAGCTGAGGGGACGGGGAGCTACCGGGTGCGCCCCGTGTCAGTGAGGCGGCCGCCGGGACATGGCCGAGGCCGCGGGGAGCTCGGCGCTGAGGCGGTGCCTCGATGTGCTCAGGGACGCGAGGAACGACAGCGAGCAGTTCGCAGCGCTGCTCCTGGTAAGGAGCCGGGGCGCAGGGGGGCGGTGCCGCGGGCGCCATCGCGTCAGGAGAGGGCAGGGGGAAGGCGAAACCCGCGTGTGCGAATGTCGGGGCTGAGCGGCGTTGGGAGCCTCGGGGCGAGGCGCTTCAGCGCCCTCATGGTCCCGTCAGCAAGGCAGGAAGAGCCCGGCCTTGTCCTGATGCACTGAGGGTTCATGCGTGCTGCCACGCTCCCAAAGCCCCCTGGGAAAGCTCCCGTTAGCACTTAAACCAAGTGCCCAGCTCGGTGGGTGCTTCTCTGCACTAATAAAAGCTTCTTAAGGCTTCTTACTTGACTGTTGAACCCTGTAAATTCAGCAAAGCCGCTTGCAGTGCTCACCCCCGGTTTGCCTTACAGGTGACCAAGGCGGTCAGAGCTGGAGAAGTAGATGCCAGGACCCGTCGCCAGATCTTTGATGCAATTGGATTCACGTTTCCCACTCGCCTGCTCGCGTCTGGGAAGCCCCCACCGGGCTGCCCCGATCACACCTTCCGGGCGCTGGGCCTTACTCTGCTGTCATGCTTCTGCACCGATCCCGAGTTAGCGGCGCACTCCCAGATCCTGAACAAAATCCCAACCTTCAATGACATCCTGCTCTCCCCCTGCAATCCGGACAGCGCACCCATGGTTGATGATGTATACCAGTGCCTCAGTGCTGTCATGGCCACAAGCAGGGGGCCCAGAGAGCTGGTGACCAAAGGGACAGTGTCTGCCCTGTGCCAGGCCTATGTGAATAGCAGTTATGGCTCTGAGCGTGCGTTGGCTCTGCTCCTGGGGCTCTTGGCCATAGCAGAGGAGAAGTGCTGGCAGAGAGATGCTCCACACCTCCTGGCCGTGCTGAGCAAGCTCTCTGAGGATTTCCTCAAGACTGAAGACATGACCAAATTTGAGCTGTGCAAGGTTCTGCCTCATTTCATCCCCCTGTCACCACCGCTCACACAGGACCCGCAGGGCTCTGAGTGCCTCCATAGGCTTTACAAAGGGCTGGCTAACATCTTGGGCAGTAAACTCAGCCAGTCGCAGCGGGACCCTGCCCTCAGCCTCGCTGCCTGCCTCGTGCAGGCCTGTGGGTCAGAGTGGATCCCAGCAGGCAGTGCTGGAAGCAAGTTCCTGGCCCTGTTGGTGAACTTGGCTTGTGTGGAGGTCCGCCTGACTCTAGAGGAGCCAGATCCCTTGGAGGTGGAGGGGAAGAAAGAAGTGGTAACAGCCTGCTATGTCCTTATTGAGATGGGGATCCAGGAGTGCCTGAGAGAAGAGAAACCACTGCTCAAGGAGGTGCAGAAAATGCAGCTCATGAGGATCATGGAGGAGGCATTTGGAGCTGTAATATTCTACCTGAGACAGGTAATGCAGGGTTTGCAAGCAAAGAGTGTGGTTTTGTGTGTTTCTTTGGGAGGCTTTCACGGCTGCTAACCAGGATGCTTACTGAGTGCTCAGCAGCTCGTGGCTGTAGCTGTGTAGAGCAAACTGTGCATCTGGGCCCACTGCAGTTTTCGTATCTACAGCAGCTCGATAGGACAGTGGCTCAAACATCATTTTCTGTCTGCTTGCTTCTTCATGCAGGTTAAACAGGAGGAGCTACAAGATCCTTTCATATTTGCTTCTGTTCGAATCCTTGGAGCCTGGATGGCAGAAGAGACATCCTCCCTCAAGCAGGAAATCTGCGAGCTCTTGCCTTTCCTTGTTCTTTATGCCAAAAGGCTTTTCAAAGAGGGCAGCTCAGCTGGGAGTCCTCCCCAGCCAGAGCTGGTCAGCACAGAGGGCTCTGGCTTACCCCAGGATGCTCTGAGGTATGTATTTTAAGCACAGAATTGATGCATTTTAGCACAAGCCTGCTCAAATCTTCCCTTTTCCATTCTCCCCTCCGTGCCAGTTCCATGATTCCTTTTTGCCCCCACACCTGGATTAAATGCAGGGCTTAGAGCCATTCTACCTCATGCTCCCAATTTCTTTCCCCTTCCAGGCTTCTGCTACCTGGCTTTTGCCATTTAACAGCAGAGGACAGGCCCCGGGACATCCTCATCTCAGAAGGGGCACCAGCACTGCTCTGTGAGTACTTCCTCCATCAGTGGGAGGTGCTGACCTCCAAGCCTGGGTCCCCAACTCCACTGACAAGCACTGAAATGAGTCTGCAGACCATGTGTGGGATTTTCCTTAACCTGGTTGTGACAGCACCAGACCTCATCAGGTAATGGAGCCAGAAGAGCTTGCTCCAAGATTGCACCCTCTTTCTTCCCAATGGTGTTGTGAAGTGAGCTTACAGAATCTGTTAACACAAAGCTGAAAAAGGGATGTCCCTTTTCCAAAAGCAATTACATTACTTTTTTGGTGCTGCATTTAACCTTGACATTTCCAGGTGCTTCTGGCTCTGCTCAGGAAGCACATCTCAGGTTTTGCTTTCTCTCTAGGCGAGACAAAACCTTTCCCTCCTTGATGGACACGTTGCTGAAGTCTCTTCCACTTCTGCTGCCCCAGAAGGATCACCTGGTTCTATCAGCAAACATTGCCACTCTGGGCCTGATGATGGCCAGGATCCTTGCAGATTCCACAGGTAGGAGGAGTTCCCACTGGCAAATCAGACACTGGTTGGGCTGGAGAAGGCAAATACGAGGGAAGCAGGTCCAGTTTATAGTTGGAAAAGTGGCAAAACCAAAAGCCTGGTGGAGTAAGGAATAGGCAGGAAATTAGGCAGGCTGATGCACTGGGATTAAGAGATTTCTCAGGCAGGAGGGGTATCCTGCTCTCCCCAAAAGCCCTGCTGCAGACAGAGACACTGAAGGGTGCTCTGTATCAAATAATTAATTCCTTTTTCTTCCAGCTCTCCAGGGGACACAGCATACCAAGAAGTTCTTTGGGGCTGCCATTTCCTTCCTATCCCATGCCCATACTGCCCAAGCAGAGCCTGGCAGTGACAGCTTGACCTTGGCCATTTCGCCTGCCTACACGAGTGCCTGGGCTGACATCAGTGAGCTCTGGTTCCTGGGAATGCAGGCCTTGGCTGGCTGCATCCCGCTTTTCCCCTGGCTGCCACAAGCCGTGCTCCAGGCGCGGTGGCTGGAAGGGCTCTCCGAGCTCCTGACCCGTGTTGCTGCAGCCTCGGTGGACTTTGAGCTCATCGCTGCTTTCCAGGGGGTGCTGGTGGAGCTGGCCAGAGCCAGCAGGCCCTGCAGGGACCTGATCCTGTCACACCACGGCAGGGAGTGGGCCAACCTCTATGGTATGGCAGCTTTGGAGCAGTGTCTGTCTGAGCAGTGAAGAGCCAGCAGCACCCTGCTGTGGGGAGCAGTCAGCACAAGGTCTGTTCAACATCTGCCCCACACCCTTTGGTGCCGGGTGGGGACAAACCCACACTCAGATTACCAGACTTCCTAAACACGGAGCGATGTAGCAGAGATGAGCTGCCCAACCCGATGCACAGAGCTGTTGCTGCCTCAGAATGCTTCAACATACACCTGCTTGACCCTCTTGCTCTATTTCTTTTCAAAAGCAGTCTGTGTATTATTAAAGATGTTTGTCTGTTTTGTTTTTCAAACTCCTGCAGTGTTGGGATTTATTTCTGCCCAGGGCCCTCAGAGGTTGCCTGCTTCTGCCATTAACACACTCCCACTTTTGTCACAGCAAGGATGTCACTTTAAGTCAGAGGCTTGCATGTGTTAGCATGTGAAGTAACTTGGCACTACACATAGAAACCTGCAAAAAGCAGGAACAGGGACAGCTTTAATACTTACTGATGGCAGTGAGAATAACGCCCTGTGACTTGGCACAGACCTGCCCCCTTCCAATGGTTGCTGTAGAAACGTGCTTGCACCATATGGGACAACAACTCCCTGTTTGTATCTATGACTGACACCAGATCATCATTATAACTCCAAATGTATGTTTAGAAACCCTTCACAGCACACTTGAAATGGCCCTTTCTTTCCTGTTAAGCATCCACACATGGCACAGCCGCAGGGATTTGTATTTCCCCGGGCTCCCTGGCTGCAGGGTTGGGATGTAAAGGGATTTTCCCCTCTTGCCAGGCGATGGCTTCAACTTGGGCTGCAGCTTTTCCACCAGGTGTCAGTCGAGGAACAAGTTGGGAGCAGCAGCCTCGCCGGAGCTGGATCTGCCAGGCCCAGGCACTGATCCTCGCTGTCCCCAGAACTCCTGCAGGGGGGCTGCGGAATCGTTTGGCACAGAGGGAATCAAGCAAGGAGCTGCCTCAAAAGGAGAGCTGAGCTGGGGGTATTCCTGCTTGGTACCAGACCCTTAGCTCTGTGAGAGCAAACCCAGCTGGAGCAGAGGCAGCCGCTGCTGCTCAGGGAAAGGATCTTTCTGATCCTTCCAGCTGAGCTCGGAAAAGCTCCTGCAAGTTGGGACAAAGGTGGGTGCTCCCAGAAGGCAGCGATGTAAGCCAAACACACAAATGAGCCTCCTGGCCTCGGAAAACAGCACTGAGTGTGGGCTGGGAGAGCGTCCCCATCCTGCCAGGAACACCCCAGCCCTGCACCCAGGGAAACAGCAGTGCATTGGAAGGGTCAGAAACACATTTCAGATTGCCAGAAAAGCCACCCCAACCCTCAAATGCTTTACCTTCCATTCTTCCTGGTCCCATGTGCTCTTCTGCC